TGTCTTATGATTTCAAATGCCATACATGGGGTAAGGCCGTGCTTTGAAGAAGGCAGTTGTGAAGAACAAGATTAGGTAAAGACTAGTGCAGGGGGGTGTAAGTGTGCTAAAGCTGCAAAGGTGGGATCTGAACACTTGAAGTTGGAAAGACTGCTGGATCCCACGGGGCCTGCCAAAGGTTCAGACAGCTGGGAGCCCAGAATACAGGGATCCTCCCTTAGGAGAGTGGAATTTGGACTTTGTCTGTCCCCCCAGCAGTTGCCCATGTCCTCTCTGCTGAGACATTTGCTGACCTTCCCAGTGCCTAGCACCGAGGAGAGGAGAGAGTGGTGGATGTCCCTGCATTGTCTCTACATAGAGAAGGGCTCGTTGACCTGCAGATGATGCTTGGCATGGACACAGCCCCTAGACCCAGGGCATCTGCTCTGAGCAGACCCCGCTGGGTGCTCCTTGCAAACTGGTGTGGCCCATGAGCTGAGTTCTGATGTGAAGCCGCTTGGCCCAGGGTTCCGAATCACAGGTAGCTCTGCCTCTTCAGTCCTCGTTGTCTTGGAGGAGATCAGAGCTGGTCTGTCGGATTGTGTCTTGGCTTGGCAGAGAACCAAACCTTTGGAAGCTGTTGTTAGCCCTTACTGTAGTAGACTAGGCCCCAGCTGGCTCAGCCTTACTTCCCTACCAGAGTGACTTGACCTCTCGGATTTGGGGGCCTCAAGCTGACAGACTTTGAGACTAGCAGATTGTGTAAAAGGCTGGGGATGAAGGAGCCCACCGAGGCTGCATTTCATAAGCTCCCCTTGGAGAGGAAGTGGGGATGGTGTCACTGAGGAGGCAGCTTTCCTGTGCTGGGGGAGCCTGAGCTTTTTAGAGAACTCACCATGGGGATTCTGGGCACATGGGCTCCTCTGGAGGGCTCTTTGGGACAGAGCCGTCTCCTTCACCTGTATTTCCAGTACCTGGCACCTAGGGAGGTGTGAATGAGTTAAGGTTGAGCCCTGTCGGCCAGGTAGCTCAGTTGGTTAGAGTGTTGTCCTGATACACCAAAGTTGTGGGTTCGATCCTCAGTCAGGGCACATACAAGAATCAACCAATGAGCCCTGGCTGGGTTGCTCAGTTTGTTGAAGTGTCTCATCCACCGAAAAAAGGTTGCACTTCAGCCCTGGCTGGTTTGGTTCAGCAGTTAGAGTGTCGGCCGCGGACCAAAGAGTCCCGGGTTCAGTTCCCGCTAAGGGCACGTACCTCAGTTGGTTTGTCCCCAGCCCCAGTTGGGGTCGTGTGGGTGGCAACCAGTTGATGTGTCTCTCTCACATCGATGTTTCTCTCTTTCTCTTCCCCTCTCTCTCCCTCCCGCTCTATCTGAAGATAAATGCAAAAATGTTCTCAGGTGAGGATATTAAAAAAAAGGTTGCAGTTCAGTTCCTAGTGCTCATGCCTGGATTGTGGGTTTGAGCCCCTGTTGGGGAATGTGCTGGGGCGGAGAAGGGGATGCAGCTGATTGATGTTTCTCTCTTCCCTTCCTCTCTCTTTATTTATTTATTTTTTATCCTCACCCGAGGATATTTTTCCATTTTTTGTACAGATAGAGTGGGAGGGAGAGAGAGGAACAGAGAGAGAGAGAGAAACATCGACGTGAAGGGACACATCGAGTGGCTGCCACCCGCACGACCAACCAGGGCCGGGGACAAACTGCAACCGAAGTACGTGCCCTTAGCGGGAACCGAACCCGGGTCTCTCAGGACCGCAGGCTGACGCTCTAACCGCTGAGTCAGACTGGCCAGGGCCCTTCCTCTCTCTTTAAAAATCAGTAAAACATATCCTTGAGTGAGGATTAAAAAAAAAAATCACCCTGGCCGGTTTGGCTCAGCGGTTGGAGCATTGGCCTGTGGACCAGAGAGTCCCAGGTTTGGTTCCCACTGAGGGCACATACCAAAAATAAAAAATAAAAAAATTAACCAATGAATATGTAAATAAGTGAAGCAACAAATCAATGTTTCTCTCTCTCTCTCAAATCAATCAATTAAAAAAAATAGCCCCACAAAGATTCAAGAAACAATTGTGAATTTCCAGATAATTCTAAACCAGGAACATGTGGGGTCTGAGGAAAGCAAAGAAAAGAAGGAAGAGGTTTTTGGTGGTAACTGAGAACAGGAAATTTCCAGTGGCTTCTTACGCGCTCCCAGACTGTGCTCAGGTGTGCATCGGAGGCCAGGGAGGGCTGTTCGAGATTCCAAGTAAGCATCTGCTGCTTGAAAAGGAACACGAGAGTGAGGACCGGATCAGAGTGTGGAATAGCACGGAATTCAGGGTTCCAGGCCTGGGTGGAATTCCAGCTCCGCCACGTCCTGGCTGTGTGACCCTGGCTAGTCCCTTCCCTCTTTTAAGTCTTGTTGGTTTCCATTTGTATAATGAAAAAAAATTTAGTGCCCACCTCAAGGAGGCAACTGAAGGTCAAATGAGAGAGTGGAAAGCACTCATGAACCTTAATAATTATTAGGTGCCCACATGTTAGGGGTATCATGCGGTTTCACATGGTGCTGGGCTCCAGGGCCGTATACAGGAGCGATGCAGGTACTTCAAAGGCCCTACGAGCCCTGGTCAGTTTTGCTCAGCAGTTAGAGCATCGGCTGGTAGACCGGAGAGTCTCGGGTTCGGTTCTGCTAAGGGCACGTACCTCGGTTGCAGTTTGTCCCCAGCCCTGGTTGGGGTCATATGGGTGGCAATCACTCGATGTGTCTCTCTCACATCGATGTTTCTCTCTCTCTCTCTTCCTCCCGCTCTATCTAAAGATAAATGCAAAAATGTCCTTGGGTGAGGATGAAAACAAAAAGGCCCTACAAAATCAATGGGCAGGTTATGAGACAGGGCACCCACTGGGTTCGAGGGTCAGTGCCGCAGACCCCAACATGAGAGCGGGCACTGCAGGCCAGAGACTTGGAGGAGAGCTGGGATTCAGACAAGAGCTGGGGTAGGAGAAGGCATTTGAGGCAGCAGGGATAACAAGAACCAAAGTTTAGGGGCTGGAACACCGTGGCATGTTGGGAGGACAGAGTTCTGAAGGCTGTGGGGAGATGGAAAGGGCAGGGAGAGGCACCAGGAACCACTGAAAGTGTTCAAGTGAATAAGCTGGGCCCCGTGTCCCAGTTTATGTTTATATTTACTTGTTTGTCTGTGTTTTTACACCCTTTTTTCCACTAGATTATAAGCCACATAAGAGTAGGGACTCCTGTGTGCTTGCTTCCTATTATATCTACAGGGTCTGGTGGGCATTCAGTAAATATTTGTTGAATGGATAAATAAGTGAACGGATGACCTACCTGAATCCCAGAATAATCACATTTTGTTGTATTGATTTAAGTCCTTGATAAGCATCAGGTGGAAGGTGGGGGTACTCAGAAGATTGATCTGGTCTGGTGTATGGAGTGGAGGGGGCAGAGAGAGGGGCAGAGGTCAGTTAGAAGAATCAGCCTACAGCCCTGGCCGGTTTGGCTCAGCGGTTAGAGCATCCGCCTGCGGTCCAGAGAGACCCAAGTTCGGTTCCCACTAAGGCCATGTACCTCAGTTGCAGTTTGTCCCCGGCCCTGGTTGGGTCGTGCGGGTGGCAGACACTTGATGTGTCCCTTTCATGTCGATGTTTCTCTCTCTCCCCCCCCCCCCTTTCTCTCCCTCCTGCTCTATCTGAACAAAAAAAAGTGGGAAAATGTCCTCGGGTGAGGATGAAAAAAAAAAAGAATCAGCCAGCAGAGTGGGATGCTGTGGGCCTCAACCACCGCAGAGGGGAGAGCTCAAGCATTTATGAGGTGTGATCTCTACCATAGGGGAGAGATGGGAGCCAGGAGGAGGCCAGTTGAGGTCTGTGCCTTGCAAAATCAACAAGTCAGGAAATGATGAGGGAGGGTGCAAGGGTAAGATTAAGGACCATATGGCTAGCACTTTATTATTATTATTGTGGTGGTTGTTGTTATTATGTTGTAGTTGTTAATCCTCACCCGAGGATATTTTTCCATTGATTCTGAGAGAGTGGAAGGGAGGGAAGGAGAGAGAAACATCGGTGTAAGAGAGACACATTGATTGGTTGCCTGCCTCCCACATGACCCCGACTGGGGCTGGGGATCAAACCTGCAACCCAGGTACGTGCCCTTGACCAGGAATCAAACTCACAACCCTTTAGTCTGTGGGCTGACACTAACCGCTGAGCCAAACAGGGCATATTATTATTTTTAATCCTCACCCAAGGAAATGCTTTTATTTTCTAGAGAGAGAGGAAAGGAGAGAGAAACATTGATGTGACAGAAACATCAGACTGTTGCCTCCCGTAGGAATCCCAACTGGGGCTCAAACCCACAACCTAGGTATGTGCCCTGACCGGGAATTGAACCCAAAACCTTTTGGTGAACAGGACGATGCTCCAACCAACTGGGCCACTCAGCCAGGGCCATAGCTAGCATCATTCCTTGTGAATTTGAACCCATAGGGAAGATATAGTCAGAAGTGCAGCTGAAAGTCTACACAGCTGGGGTTCCCATGGCCACTTGCATCCCGTTCTTTCTACCCCTACTCAGTTTATAGATCACTTCCTCTGGGAGCCTCCTGCTCCCGTCATGCCTCCTATGTGACCATGCCCTGCCTCAGTCATGACTCTGATTTCCCTTCTTAACTGTGCCCACCACCACCACCAAACTGCCCCCAACAAGAGGTCAGGTCCTTTGTTATCTTGCCCACTGTTACAAGGTTGAATAGGTGGATGGATGGATGGATGGGTATCAAATAAGGGAATGTGGAAAGAAAGGATGAGAGAAGCAAAGCAAGAAGTTAGCATAGGAATATGGGTGATTGTTCTTCCCTTTATATTTCTGTATTTGCCAAATTTTCTCTAGCAATATATTTGGCATTGATCCCCTACAAAATTATTGGTTAAAGAAGAGATAACAGGCAAGAAAACAGACCACTCGGGATTCTGGCCGCCTTTCTCACGAGCTGTTGGCTTTTGGTCCGCTCTCCTACAGGTGGAAGCAGGGAAAGGCCTGGAGATGAGGAAGCTGGTTCTCTCAGGGTTCCTGGCCAGCGAAGAGATCTACATTAACCAGCTGGAGGCCCTGTTGCTGGTGAGTCTGTGCTCTGGGGCCTTCTGGGCACCCTGTCGTGCTCCTACGCTGCTTGTGGAGCTGGAGAGGAAGGAGGACCTGCACCGTTCCTCCCTGTGGGCAGAGTCTATGGTACTGCTCTGCTTACAGCGTGGCATCAGGCAGCTTGGGGTCATTGCCAGAAACGGCCTGTGCCTCTCAGCACCCACTCCATTAACTGCCCTGGAAAAGGCAGGAGGAGAAGCACAACTAGGTTGGGGGTGGCAAGCCCTCCATCACCCACGACCATGGCACAGGCCTTACTCGTCGATTTGTCCAGATGGGGGTCTACCCAAGCTTCCACACTGTACTCTGGGAATCAGTGTATCATCCAGCCCTCTTTGTCATTGCTGGTCCTGGTCCTTCTTCCTTCATGCAATAGTAAACCATTTGTGCCATCCCAAGGCCCTGTGGCAGGACATGTGAAGTGGAGGGCTCTCTGCCGTTTTGAGACACGCCAGAGCTCTGAGGCATTAGACCAACCCCAGTCCTTTGTGAAGGTGCCTCAGTTTCCTCTCCTGAGACGGAAGCATTGTTGAGAGAATCAGATCAGGAAGGGAATACTATTAAAATGTTTTCAAATAGTAAAAGTACTACACAGATGTAAGATGTTTCTGCCTTTGGAAAAAGTGCTTATTAGATGCTCCTGGAGATTATGCATAGTGATTGTGGCGTGTTAAGTTCTCTGCATGGGTGTTTTGCAGTCTGAGACATAAGATGATAACAAAAAAAGAGGAATAAGAAATGTAGATGCAGTCCAGCTGGTGTGTCTCAGTCAGTTGAGTGACATTCCATGCACCAAGAGGGCGTAGGTTTGATTCCTGGTCAGGGCACATGCCCGGCTGCAGGCTCAATCCCCAGTTGGGGGAGTGCAGGTTGCAGACTCAATCCCCAGTGGGGGGCATGCAGGAGGCAGTCAATCGATGTTTCTCTCTCTCTCTCTCTCTCACTTCTGCTCTCTCTAAAATCAATAAAAACATATATTTTTTTTAAAAAAGAGCCCTGGCCAATTTGGCTCAGCAGTTGGAGCATTGGCCTGAGGACCAGAGAGTCCTGGGTTCAGTTCCCGTTAGGGGCACGTACCAAAAATATAAAAAGAAATGTGGATGTAGATCAGTAGAAACTCCTTTTTATAAGAATTGTAAGATACGCATTTATGTACTTATTAAATGTTGTCACCCAGTCAGTGTTCTAAGAGAGTGGCACTTACTATCCAGGGAATAACTATTGAAATGTGTAGATACTTTGTAACACACTGGACTGAGTTTGTGGTAAATCTCACCTGGAGTTTATTGGAATGCACAGTAATATTTTCAAGTGAGGGTCAGTGTGGCAGATAAATGAGGAACTAGGGCAAGACTGTGCTGTTAATAGCAGACTTACTGTATACTTTTTTACATACTGTGTGCCTTGACCATTAGTGGATTGAACCAGCATTTAAATACAAACGAGAAAGAAAATATCAGGATGTACCACTTAATAAGTACTGTTTCATGAAACGTGTGGTTTGGTGTGTATATGTGTATGTGTATATGTATATACTGGTCCATGTTATTTTTCACATGTGTTGTAGGGTTTGAAAACCACTGGCTTTGGGCATGTCATGCATAACCTCCTTGAGCCTCAGTTTCCTCGTATGAGGATAAGAATGATACCATTACCTTCTCTTCATGGGGTTGAGAGGACCAGGTGATCCTTTTTGGGACCTAGTACAGTGCTTAGGCACTCACATATTAACTAGGAAGGAAGGAAGACAGGCAGGTGACCAGTTCGATACATGTGAAATACACCTTATAAACTGAATTACTGTATCAAAATCAGGGGGTGTGGCTGTCATTACTAACAGGAGGCATATTTGAAAGGAGTTCAAGCAAAGGAAAAGGGGTCCTGCTTTGAGTTCTCACTTGACCACTTACGAACTCTAGGCCTTCAGCAGGTTTGTGCCTCATTTTCTCCACCTGCAAACTGGCTATGCTATTATTAGTACAGCGGGTCCTTGTTATAATGTTGATGAGATGCCCTAGAAGCTTAACTCTTGTTTATATCAATAAGCCTATGGTAAAATTTGTTTCACTTAAAGTCACAGAACTGCCCTGGCCAGTTTGGCTCAGCGGTTAGAGCATCGGCCTGCGGTCTGGAGAGACCTGGGTTCGGTTCCCGCTAAGGGCATGTACCTCGGTTGCAGTTTGTCCCGGCCCTGGTTGGTCGTGCGGGTGGCAGCCACTCGATGTGTCCCTTTCACGTCGATGTTTCTCTCTCTCTCTTCCTCTCTCTCCCTCCCACTCTATCTGTACAAAAAATGGAAAAATGTCCTCGGGTGAGGATAAAAAAAAAAAAAAGTCACAGAACTGCCCTGGCCAGTTTGGCTCAGCAGTTAGAGTGTCAGCTCGCAGACCAATGAGTCCCAGGTTTGATTCCGGCCAGGGGCACGTACCTCGGTTGCAGTGTCCCTGGTCCTGGTCGGGTTGTGCGGGAGGTGACCAATCAAGGTGGCTCTATCACATTAATGTTTCTCTCTGTCACTCTCTCTTTCTCCCTCCCACTCTATCTGATGATAAATAGAAAGGTATCCTTGGGTGAGGAGTTAAAAAAATAAACCCTGGCCGGTTTGGCTTAGCGGTTAGAGCGTCGGCCCGCGGACCAGAGAGTCCCAGGTTCAATTCCCACTAAGGGCACATACCTCAGTTGCAGTGTGTCCCCGGCCCCAGTTGGGGTGGCAACCGCTCTGTGTGTCTCTCTCACATCGATGTTTCTCTCTCTCTTCCTCCCTCTCTCCCTTCTGCTCTATCTGAAGATAAATGCAAAAATGTCCTCGGGTGAGGATGAAAAACTAAAATAAAAACAAACAAACAAAGTCACAGAACCTAAGAAGACATTGAGGACAACTTTCCCCTGTGTTAGGGGTGTTGTGAGGATTATATGAGTTTGTACCAGAAGCCCTTAGAAAAGAGGCCAGATGTTAGCTGATACTGTATTTTCTCCGTGGCGGGAGAGAATGCAGGTTAGGGCATGTTTGTCTCCATCAGCACTCTTTCCCTGAAGGAAGGGAGGCCCATGTTCTCATTTCTTCTCTGTCATTGGGCCAACGCTCTCCCTCCCTGCCTGCCTGGCCTATTCTAAGAGGTGATGCCCCAAAGGCAAAGCTGGTGAGGCTGAGGCCCCACCCTCCCTCGCAGCTTGCTCTCATCCTGGGCCCGTGATTGGTTCTTTCTTGAGCAGAGGTCAAAGAGGGAGGGACCAGGGGCGAGGCCTGATCTGTGGCTGGAGAGCTCCAGGAAGAGGAGGCGGGACGCTCCGTAGCCACGCCTCACACGTTAAGCCTCAGAAATAGAGTCAAGCCCTCTTCCCCGCCTCCTTGAGCTGAGAGCCCTCCCTTCTCAACTACCTAGTAGCTAAGCCCTTTGCTTTTTGGGGTGATCTGACAAAGGGGCTCAGAGGAGAAGAAAACCTGTCCTCTCTGAGCTCCCTCCCCCTCCCACGCCCAGATGTTCTCATCACCCCACCCCCACCTCCACAGCTCTGCTTCTAACGGGTTTGATTGTTCTCAGCTTAACACTTCCTGATATGCCGAAGCTAGGTGTGTATACCTAAGACAGTGTAGACACACCGGCACAGGCAGGGATGCCACAAGGAGCCTCTGTTCCTCCCCCCTGGGTTGCTGGCTGGGCAAAGCTTGGTCATCTGGAATCCTCCAGGTTCCTGGTGGGCTCAGATTACAAGTGGAGTGGGCCTGAGAGCCTGGGCTGAGGTGGGGGGTGGAGGAAAGGAGACAAACCAAATGCACTTAATTCTGCATCTCCACCCCTCCCCCCAGTAATGAGCTGGATACTGCGCCTGGCAGCACCATCACCTACAGCACCTCCCAGCACCAGGCCACAGCTGGCCCTCTCTCAGGCTCATTCTGGCCATTTGCTCTGTGGTTCCTAGGCCCACTGTGCTCAGGTTCCTTACCTGTGAGATGGGTTAATGATACCGTCCTGCCCTGGGCCCCAGGGAGCAGGCGGTTGAGGTGATGGTTGGTAAACAGGCCTTGCCTGGCATCCTCCAGGATTCTGGAATACGAGGCAGAGGTAGAGGAAGTGGATCTGTTTCTTTCCCGTTTCAAAAGGCAGGTTGCTGGAGAGCAGAGCAGACGTCAGTGTGACAACCTACTAGGAGTTAGAACAGCCTGGCCTGACTTCGTGGGAAATGGAGAGCCTGGGTTGGCCCTGAGGTCCCTCGGGGTCCTCTGTAAGAATCCCTTTCTCCCCTGATAACCTGGAGAGCCCACCCCAGCCCTCTGGAGGACAGAGGGGTGACTGGCAGGCTAGCTCTCTGGCAGAGGAGCAGTGCCAGGTCGCCCTGCCTGCCACGCAAAGCACCGAAGACCTGTACTCAGGGCTGCACCAGATAAAAAAATAACTGCCCTCAAGGGTGTCCGGCCTGGCAGGGGTACACACCCAGTCCCCGCCCCCCGCCAAGTATAAGCAAGGCTAAGACCAGAGGTCCCAGCCTTGTCCTGAGAGCCATCTGATGCCCAAGTGCAGGCCGTCTGTGTGACTCGCTGCTGGTGAGCACCCATTTCTTCCCCTTTTGCGGACAGAGTGGGAAGTTTAGAAGGAAGCAGAGCAGTTGTGTCTTGTCCCGGTGTGGGCAGACATGAGTGCTTCCCCAGCAGCTTCTGAGAAACCCTGACTCCTTGGCTTTCCCAGGCCTGTTCTCTCCCTGTTTCCTTTATTCCCTGGAGAGTGCACCATGACAGGGACAGGGACTAGTGGCTCTAGGACTCAGTGATGACTTCGGCCTTCCACTGGCTCCTGGGTAGAAGTAATGAGGATACATTATGCCAGTGATCCTGAGAGCCAGCTCTGGATCACTAGGAGCCATGAAGCTGCGTGTAGCCACCCACCTGGGCTTGAGAGGACAGTGTTCCTTTTTTTTTTTTTTTTTTTTAATCCTCACCCGAGGACATTTTTTGCACAGATAGAGTGGGAGGGAGAGAGAGGAAGAGAGAGAGAGAGAAACATCGACGTGAAAGGGACACATCGAGTGGCTGCCACCCGCACGACCAACCAGGGCCGGGGACAAACTGCAACCGAGGCACATGCCCTTAGCGGGAACCGAACCCGGGTCTCTCCGGACCGCAGGTGGATGGTCTAACCGCTGAGCCAAACCGGCCAGGGCCAGTGTTCCTTTTTTCTTGGCTCCTGGCTGTTTCCCTGCTGGGCATGCTTCCCAGGCCTCACCCCTCCACCTGCTCAGATCTTCCCAACCTTCAAGGCCTGTTCCTGTCACCTCCTCTGGGAAGCCCTCTGAGTTGCATCAGCACAACTTTGAGGCCAAACCAGTTGGTATTTACAGTCCAAGTCATACAGTACCTTATCTTGCCTTGTCCACCAAGGTGTTTCATTCGTGTTGGTCCAGTTTACCCAAATAGAGTATAGCATTCTCCAGAGCAAGGATCATGAGTCATAAAAATAATCTCCTGAAAAGAAAACTGGACCCCAGCACTCCCCTGGTTAGATCTCTCCAGGGAAAGCCAGGTCAAAGCCGCATTCCTTCCCCTGCGTGATCTGGCCGCTGCCCTCCCCTCCAGCCCTGCTTCAGGGCCCCTCCTCCCCCAGGCCTGCTGCACACAGGCTCACTGGCTTCATTCCAGCCCGTCACTCACACGCCTGTTCCTGCCTCAGGACGGGGCACTGAGGACGTCTGCCTGAATACATCCCCTTTGCCTGTGCGCTCCCATTTCAGCACCTGGCTCAGGACATCCTTTCTTACTTCCTCATTGCCTGTATGTGTGATCATGTGTTTGATTATTTCCTTGTGTTTTGTCTGTCTCCCCTACCAGACGGGAGGCTCCATGGGGCCAGTGATTTGTGAATCACAAACACCACCCCTCCAAACCCCCCACCCCAGTCCAACCTCACATTGTTAGGCACTTAGCACATTATTTTTGAGGTGAGTAATAATAGTAGCAGCTAACGTTTTTTATTGCCTTCTGTGTACCAGGTACCTACTCGATATTTCATATAAATAATGGCTTTTCATCTTCCCATCAGTGTTCTTGAGAAGGTAATATTATCCCAGTTTTATAAATGAGGCTGCTAAAGCCCAGAGATGCTAAGGGCCTTGCCCACAGCTATTAAGTGGGAGAGTTGAAACTCAGACCCACACTGCCTGGCTTGCACCCTCATCCTTCTTCCCCAGCAAAGAGCTGGACTGGACATTCAGGGTTTGTTGGTTTCAGCACTGAGAGGGTCAGAAGCAGGCCTTCTGCTTTTTCTTGTTTTTTTCATCATGTCTGGACGTTTTTAGAGCTGGGAGGACGAGGGAGCCAGAAGTTGGAGAACTGCCGGGTGTTTGAGTAGATGGGACTTCCTCTTGTGATCATACTTGGGCTCTGCCACCGTCGGGGTGAGACGATGGGAGGATGGAGTGAAGCTTGGCTGGGAGTGTGGCTGCTGTGGCCGCTGGAGCTGGCGGTCACCTCTCAGAGTGCTCCAGGGACAACTGCGGGCCCCCTCAGTGTGGGTGCTCCCTCCAGTCCAGCACTGAGTGGCCTGCTTCCTGCTAGAATGCTCATCTTGTTGAAAAGCTCACTACCTAACCCTGTGACAGTGGGGACAGCTCCAGGGAGTCTACGCTTGCCCTCATAACGTCCTGCTGTCCCTGGGTCTCCAGAGTGACCCAGACTTGGTCAGGGGCCTCTTTCTACACATCAGCCCTGTGTGTGACGTAGGCTTCTCTCTTCCAGTAAACATACCCGCCCTCGTAGCCTTCTCTCTGGGGCAGGTTTCCTGACCCTGTCTCCTAGAGGGCCTTTGGGGTACAGTGACCTTTGGGCTGAAGGAAGGTCAACCGAAAAGGAGCTCTTTATCCTTCAGGATCAGGTTTTTTTTTTTTTGGTTTCAGCTATGATTTTTAATACCTTTTTAGCCTGATTATAAAATGAATGTTTACTCATTTAAGGTGATTTAGAAAATACAGAAAATCACACTGAAGAAAAGCACCCATGCCCCAGCACCCTACAGTGCTACCGCTGGGTGTGAAGGTGATGTCTTCAGACCCCAGCCCTTGCTGGGGGACGGGCCTGAGCTATTGCCTGTCGTCTCACCCTCTCCACCTTCAGGCCGTGGAGCGTCAGAGATGACACATGGGTTTCATTTTGCACGTCAACCTTGGCATTGAGAGAGAGTCAGAGACCACAGCCAGGCTCAGTGAGGAAGATTATCGTGATCACTTAGCAGTGTCTGCCACAGGCACAGGAAGTGGGGCAGCGGCATGTGTGCCCCCTGTTCGCTGTCTCTGTGTCACGTGATGGGAACATGAAATATCAGTGCAGCTGAGACTGGTCTTGGGTCTCTTTAAGATTCTAGTCCCTACCCTGACCGGTGTGGCTCAGTGGACTGAGCGTCGTCCCATAGACTGAGAGGTCCCAGTTCGATTCCCGGTCAGGCACATGCTCGGGTTAAGGGCTTGATCCCCACTAGGGGGCGCGCAGGAGGCAGCCAGTTGATGTATCTCTCTCACATCAATGTTTTGTCTCTCCTTTCCTCTCTCTCTAAAAGAAGACTCTATTCCTAAGTCCTAGAGTCACGTTTTATTCACTGAAGTGCGACAAGAGAGCCGATTCCTGAGAGCGTAAGGCCATCGTGGAAGAAAGACTTAGATCCTATTAAACCAAAAAGCAAACCTAGTACAGGCTGGTGGCCGGGACCTCTTCTGGGGGTGAGGGGTGGGGAGGTGTGTGCTGGTTCCACCCCTTGGGCCTGGCAGGGCTGCTGGGCCAGACTCCAGCTGTCACGTTCCCCGTCCTCGCGCATTGGCGCCTGTGACCGCAGCTACTTGATCGGAACCACACACACTTCAGGGGCCCTGCCAACCTGGCCTCGTCTAGGCAGAACTCAGGCAGCAGGAAGGGCCAGTCAGTGCCCCGGGCCTGCTGACCCTGGTTCATGTGCCTGCTCTCTTTTCCTCCTCTCTGCCAGCCCATGAAACCCCTGAAGGCCACAGCCACCACCTCGCAGCCTGTGCTCACCATCCAGCAGATCGAGACCATCTTCTACAAGATCCAGGACATCTATGAAATCCACAAGGAGTTCTACGACAACCTCTGCCCCAAGGTGCAGCAGTGGGACAGCCAGGTCACCATGGGCCACCTCTTCCAGAAGCTGGTGAGTGTCCCGTGGTCGAGGGTCCTTACCCGGGGCCTCAGGGGAGCTGCGGGCGTGGGTAAGGACCAGACAGCGCCAGCCTGCTGGTCTCCTTGAAGGTTTCCGAGTCCTGGAGGAAAGCCTGGGCCTAGTGCCTGGACTTCCGGCCTCCCCTGGGAAGCCTAGAGTGTTCTAGGGATGCTGGAGACGGGCATAGGTGCTCCTGGCAGGACACTGTTTCTCTCCCCTGCTGGGTTTCAGGTCCCTCCGCTGGCTAAGGGGCATGTCCCCGGTGGATGGGCGGGGACTGCTCACCGGAGACCTCAGGCATTTGCCACACTTCAGCGCCATGTCGGAAGTGACGCCTGAAATGGAGCAATCATCTGAAGTGAAGCAATCGGTTGGGAGGTTGGGAGACTGTCAGCTGTCAGATCTGCTCCTAAGGCCCCGGAGCAGAAAGCACTGGGATCCCTGCCCGCCCCCCACTGCCGGGGAGGGAAGAGGCCGGAGGGGGTAGCCTTGATGTGGAGGCTTAGTGTTGGGAAAGGCTGACAGAGGTCTTCTAGTTCCCAGGGCTTCGGTGACACCTTCTCCCCTAGCTGTGTCCCCTGGAGGACCCTCAGGTCAGACCCACAGGGCACCCCACCTGGCTCTCCCCTGGGCTCTCCCAAGTGGGGAAGGGAGTCAGTGGCCATTGTTGTCAGGTGTGAATGGCGGGGGCAGGGAGCAGCACCTCTCCTCCCCCGCAGTGGTGGGGCTGGTTGGGTGCACAGGCTTCTACTTTCCTCGCACTGGGCAAAACTCCTGCTTGGCTACTCCAGGGCTTTGCACTCAGCATGTACAAAACTGGACTCATTGTCTGACGTTCTTGGCTCTTCTCCCAGCCTCTGCCTCAGTGGGTGCTGCCACCACCCCATCTTGCATCCTTCTGTGACTCCCTTAGGCTCACCTTTGCCCTCCCCCACCCCTCCCCCACTTTTACAACCCCTAGAGTCCACTTCTTTAATGCTCACGCCACCTGCTTCCGTCTACCAGTTCTGGGGCCCTCACCTGGGCCACGGCTGTAGCCTCATGAGTGCCTCCTGCCTCGGGCCCCCCCATCCACCCCCACATCTACCTGCCAGCTGGGGAGTTATCTAAACTCCTGACCAGGCCTCACTGCTGCCCTGCTTAAATCCCTTCCGTGGCTCCCTTGCCAGTTAATCGGGTGAAGACCAGGCTCCGAGGAATGGCTGAGGAGACCCTTCCGAGGCCACCCTCTGTCCACACCTGACCGCTGGCTGCTGCCTCTCCCACCCTCTGTGCCCCTGACACAGAACTTCCTGTTCTCAGTTCACACTGCAGGCACTGCTGACCTCTCTGTACTCGTGGCTCTGCTGCCTGAAATGTCCTTTCCCATCTCCTGGTCAGTACCCAGCTTAGAAGTGACCTCCTTGGAGAAGCCTTCCGCAGCCCCTACCGTTATCCCTCGGAGAACACTCTCCCCAAAACCATAAGCTCTTGGAAGGCAGATTGTATTTGCTTCATCATTAGCTCTCCAGAACCAGCCCAGTGAGAAATGAATGAATGAAGGAGGGAGGGAGGGAGGGCGGGCGTGAACGAGTACTCTGAGACTGGGGAGAACTTGGAAGGGCATTGAGGGAGACATGGCAGGGTGCGAGGTCTGTGTCCTGAGAGACCAGCAGTGTTGTAGGGACAAGCATAGCTTCTAGAACCCGGTCACAGCTGGGTGTGAATCTGGGTTCTGCCACAGATTAAACCTGTAACTTTAGGCAACTTACCCAACCTCTCTGTGACTTGGGTTCCTCATCTGTAAACATGACGATAATAAAAGTATCTATCTCATTGGATTCTTGTGAGGACTGCCTGAAAAGTGCCTGGAACATAGTAAATTAGTAAATATTCAATAGTTAGCCATTATCATGACTACTGTTGTTATTCTTACTGTTATTATTATTAATATTATTAGGAAGAGGCACCCCAGAGGGTGTTCTTGCAAGGGAATTCCACGCTACTGGTTCTGGCAGCCCTAGAGTACTCGCCCCAGTTCAGGGATGGTGAACACCAGTCTTCACTCTGGCCTGGTCCCCGGAACCTGAGCTGATTGGCTTGGGGCAGCCTCTCTTCAGGAGGGCAGGAGAGACCAAACCAGAAGGTGGGAGGTACATACCCCAGAGGACAGTGGACAGGCTGTCTCTTTGTCACTTGGACCCTGCCGTCACCAGGGTCTCCCATTCTGGTCCCAGCTCCATGGGCCCGGTCATGAACGTGCTCCCCAACTTCCCTCCCCCAGCATCATGAACAGATCTGAAGCCCCTGGGGCTGTAGGCTCGGGAGGGCCCGGGTGAGCCGGGGCAAGCCAGGCATCTGGAGGCAGTTTCTTTTCCTCTGGTCTCCGGGTATTTGATTATCCATCACGGAGAGAAGGGAATTAGCATCTCTGCTGTTTGTTTTATGAGATCACCCCAGTGCTAAGCGGCTGTTTCCAAGCAACATCTACTTCCCAGTTAGCCTGGCAGCCAGGGCCTTGGGCCCTGTAGGTGAGGGTGTCTCGTGGGCGTGACAGTGTCTGGGATGGCCGGTGACTTCTGCATTCAGACCTTCTGCCTGGGCTCCTGTTTCTGGTTCACCTCCTGCTATAGTGGTTCTCAACCTGTGGGTCACGACCCCTTTGGGGGGTCGAACGACCCTTTCATAGGGGCCACCTAAGACATAACAGTAGCAAAATTACAGTTATGAAGTAGCAACGAAAATAATTTTATGGTTGGGGGTCACCACCACATGAGGAACTGCATTAAAGGGTCGCGGCATTAGGAAGGTTGAGGACCACTGCTTAGGCAGTGGGTTGGGAGGTATGTTCCAAACTGGGCATCCAGCCCTTACCTTTCTCGTGGGAAAGGGGACAGAAGAATGCATATCTGGAAGAAGAATAGCAGTGGTTTTCACTTGGGTTTAGGAAGCGACTGTCTAGCACACCCCCTGTAGCTTGGGACACCAGTGGGCCAGTAATTCCCCTGCAGAAGGAAACAAACTCCATTTCTTCCTGCCCCTCCCCAAGACTTTTTGTGGGTGAAAAGTCTGGCCTGCTTGGGCGCTTAGACCTGCATGGCTCTGACCTTGGCTTCTCCGCAAGCACCCGGTTCTCACCTTCCCTCTGGCTCTCCTGGCCCCACTGCTGGCTTCTTTGGGCTCTGTCTCTGCCCAGACTGCTCCAGATCCCTGGCATCACCTCTTTGGGTCCTTGAGGAGCACAAGGATTCTGCAAAAAATGGAGTGGTCCAGGGTAAGGCTCAGGGGCAGGCCACTGTCCCCAGAACTTTAGTGGGAGCCCCGAGGAAGCCCCGCAGCTGAACCTCCTTGCTTCGTCATTGGAAAAAACCTAAACCAGAAAATCTAGAGAATAATGTAGCTAACAACTGTTTGCTCACCTACCAGAATTAACAGATGTGAAGCTCTGAAGATACAGGGCAGACCTTTTTTTTTGATCCTTACCCAAGGATATTTTTTTTTAATTGATTTTTAGAAAGAGAGGAATTGAAGGAGAGAGAGAGAGAGAGAGAGAGAGAGAGAACGTTGATGTAGGAGAAACACTGATGGATTGCCTCCCATACATGCCCTGAACAGGGACCGAACCCACAATTAGGTGTGTGCACTGTCCGAGAATCAAACCTGCAACCCTTTGGTACATGGGATGATGCTCCATGCCACCCGGCCAGGGCTATGGCAGAACTCTTCAAGAAAGTAAAGCATTACAGATGATGCGCAGTCTCCCTTCCCCTCTCTTCTCGCCCTTCCCTTCAACCTACAAGCAGCTGCCTTTTTGTGGGTAGCCTTCTAGGCTGCAGTTTGTGTTTTTAGTGCATATCTATATCTTTTTATGGCATTGCATGTACTTTTTCAATGGACGTAAGTATAGATATCATCCTTTATTTTGCAGTCCAATCAACATTTGTTTTTAAACTTGCTGGTGTTGCTGCTCAGGCAGTGGGATGGGAGGGTAGTGTTTCAACCTGGGCGTCCAGCCTTTATCCTTCTCGTGGGAAAGGGGACAGGAGGGTGCATTAGTACCTTTGTCGGGGTACTAATTTACACCCCCACAAGCAATCTGTAAAAGTTTCTGTTTCCCCCATTCTTTTTGTTGTTGTTGTTAATCCTCTTCCAAGGATATTTTTCCATTGATTTTTAGGCAGAGTGGAAGGGAGGGAAGGGGAGAGAGAAACATTAATGGGAGAGAGACACATCGATTGGTTGCCTCCCGCAAGACCCTGAACAGGCATGTGCCCATGACTGGAAATTGAACCCGAGACCCTTTGGTCCGCAGGACGACACTTTAACGGCTGAGCCAAACCGGCCAGGGCTATTTTCCCACATTCTTGATATCATCAGACTTCTAAATTTTGGCCAGATTGATGAGTATACAATAGCATTTTATTAGTGTGAATTCACATTTCCACCCTTTGCTCCCTTAAGAGGGAATGTATATGCACAACACAGAGAAAGCCTCCCATGAATATTTGAGGAATTGAGGGAATGTGCCTCAGTTTCCTCTTTTACAGAAAGGGATGTTGACACCTGTCCTGCCTCCCAGAGGACATAAGGCTCCATGTGGTCATGAATCATGAAAAGCGTTGTGTTAGGTTCGGAGTGACATGCAGATGTGGGGTGAGGCAGGGCCTCTGGCTCCTTGGAGGCTGAGGGAAGTGGAGACTGTGCCTTTAAATGCTGTGCCTCACACTTAGCATGGGGAATGGAGCACTGAGCAGACCACACCCGCACATGCCCACCCAACTCTTCCCTCTCCCTGCTGCGGTAATTCCAGGACGTGAAAGAGGTGTGAGACATGAAGGGGCCTCAGACCCTGAGAGACCTTGCCGATGCTAAATAAAGCCAAATGCTGCTGATGGATTGAATTTGTAGCATGCCAACAAAGGCCCTCTACCCTGTTCCCCCTAATCCCCAGTACCCTCTTGTTAACCTTATTGGCTGAGCTAGTTTCCATGGAAACTGTCAAGTTCAAAGGGATACCGTAGTATACTCATCCTGCCTTTCCCTTCTGTTCCCGACTAGCCCTTTGGAGCTCAGTTAGAGGTTCTGAATGCTAAGGGAGCTTCAGGTGCTCTGGTTAAACTTTCATCCATTCATTAATCCTCTCTCCCCACCCCACTCCTGCCCTCCTCTCTCTCTCCTCTCTCCTTCCTGCAGGCCAGCCAGCTTGGCGTGTACAAAGCATTTGTGGATAACTATAAAGTTGCTCTGGAGACAGCTGAGAAGTGCAGCCAGTCCAACAACCAATTCCAGAAGATCTCCGAGGTGTGCAGCTCCCTGCGCAGCCACCCCTGGGCTCTGGGGCTGCTCAGAGCCTTCCAGCCTTGGGGCCTCTCCTTTCCTGCTTCCCAGCTAGGGAAACACTTCCCCTGACGGGTAACACTTAGCCTGGCATTTGCTCTCCTGCACTTGACATTTTCCCTCTTCATGTAAGAACACCAGTTTGTTTGATTTAGTCATTCTGTCGTAGGTTATTCTGTGTTACAACAGAGGAGGCAAAGAAAGGAAAAGGAAAAAGGCAGTATTTCCCACACTGCAGTGACCTTGAGCAAGTCACTTCCCTTCTGCTGGCTTGTGTTTCTATAGCATGAGGTGTCTGGATTCCTCCAGCTCGTGCCACACTTGCTTGATGAGAACCAGGGAGGGACACTGTTTAAAATGCAAGTCCTTAGGCACCTTCCCTGGAGCGTCAATTCAGAAGGTTTGGGTGGGGCCCAGGACTCTATTTTTAATAAGCTTCCTGGGTGATTTTTACTATCAGGAAGATCTGCGGAAGGCTAGGTGGTCTCTTCAGATCCTTGCTATCCCACAAAAAGAGAGCACAGGGCCACTCATGTGGGGAAGAAGTCACAGACCCGCTAGTGGAAATATGCCTGTCTCCGCTGCTGCAGCTCTGCCTCCCCTCATGCTCCTCTGCAGGGCAGAGATGTGGCTCTGTCTGCCATCAGCATTCTGTCTCTCCAGGAAGGGGCAAGGTTGGGCTCTGGGGTCCTTGATAAACTTTGGAGAGGGAACTCAATCTGCAGTGTTGGAGGTCCTGCCTTACAGGCCCATCTGGACCCTTTTTTTTCTTCTTTTTATTTTTTTTTCCATTTTTTGTTCAGATAGAGTGGGAGGGAGAGAGAGAAAGAGAGAAACATTGACCTGAAAGGGACACATCGAGTGGTTGCCACCCGCATGACCAACCACGGCCAGGGACAAACTGCAACCGAGGTACATGCCCGTAGCGGGAACTGAACCCGGGTCTCTCCAGACCGCAGGCTGACACTCTAACTGCTGAGCCAAACCAGCCAGGGCCTTCTTTTTTTAAAAAAATGTTTTTTTATTGATTTTTTTGATAGAGACAGAGGAAGGGGGGGAGAGAGAGAGACATCAGTGTGAGAGAGACATCAATCGGCTGCCTCCTGCCTGCTCCCTACTGTGGATCGAGCCCACAACCTGGACATGTCCCCTGACTGGGAATCAAACTGTGACCTCTCAGTTCCTGAGACTACCCTCCATTCACTGAACCACACTGGCCGGGCTGGACCCTTTGCTTTCTTGTCTCAGCTCCGATGCTAGAAAAGTTGATGAGATGCAGCATAGTTTTCTTTTTAAATTTTTTTCTTTATTCATTTTGAGAGAGAGAGGAAGGAAGAAGGAGAGAGAGATAGAAACATCGATGAGAGAGATCAATTGGCCGACTCCTGCATGCCCTCCACTGGGGATCAGACCCACAACCTGGGCATATGCTCTGACTGGGAATCAAACTGGCGACCTTCTGGTGCATGGGCTGGCGCTCAACCACTGAGCCACACCGGCTGGGCTGGACCCTTTGCTTTCTTGTCTCGGCTCCAATGCTAGAAAAGTTGGTGAGATGCAGCATAGTTTTCATACCCAAGTTTGAAATTGGCCTGGAGGCAGCACAGGAGTCAGACGCAGGTAAAATGTCAACTTGACTACTGGTAAAAGCCAGATTGGAAGAATGTGGACTTGGATCTGTAGCCACATTGGGTTTTGTTTTTATTGATTTGTAAGAGGAAGTGAGAGGGAGAGAGAGAACATGGACTGGCTGCCTCCTGCATGCCCCCCCCGGGGATTCAGCCCACAACCTGGGCATGTGCCCTGACTGGGTGCATGGGGTCGACGCTCAACCACTGAGCCACAGCGGCTGGGCCACACTGGGCTTGTTGACACTTGGAAGCCCTCCACAGTCAAACACATCCACTAGGGGCAGAGAGAGGGGGCCAAGCGCGGTTCTCCTCCCAGCCCAGGGAGTAGGTGAGTCACCTCTGCCTCAGAGCGCGGACTGAGGAGTAGGGAAGTCCCTCTTTGTGGAGTCACAAGGCTGGAGAAATGGTGCTTCCCCGTCAAGGCTCCCAGTTCTCCTGGGAACCAACTGGATTCCCGTGATCTGTTCAGACAGGCCCGGCCATGGCTGCCTGGGTACTGGGTCCTTGGAGTCATGGCTGCCAGAGTAGGAGGGATTTCCTTTTAGCCTGGCCTGACTGTCCATTCTCTGTGGTCCGCAGAAACCCCTGCACTCATCCCTGAGCCCCTCAAAGCCTGCGGGTTCCGAGGGCAGAGCCAGGCCCGTGGCCTGCTGCCAGGTGGCCTCTCTCCCTGACTCACACGCTGCCACTTGATTACTGGAATTAGGCCCCTCTCCTCCACAGCGCAGCGGGGAGTGACTTCATACCTCTAGGCTGCACTGGAGGGGCACGGAGAAAATCTCCCCAAAGCTGGGAATCCAGACACCAGCCAGAGGCAGCCTTGAGGTGCTGAGTAACCCCCTTCCCCCCACTCCACCCCAAAACCCCAGGCTCGGTCACGGGGCGGGGGGGGGGGGTGTTATCTAGAAACGCTCGAGGCAGGATCCAGAAAGGGGAGCTCCTGCTGCCTGGCATTTCCTCCCTCCCAGGCAGAGCAGGCAGTGTCACCTGGGTACCCGACCTTGGCCTCACCTCACCCGCCTTCCCACCACCAGCACCCCCTTGGGTCCCCTCTGCACTCAGCCGGCATAGCGAGGATTGCATTACAGCTCCAGTTACAGGCCGCACTGGTCCGATAGCGAGGGCTGGACCTGGACCTCTCTCACTAGGCAGATAAAGGTTTGGATCAGATAAGGTGCCCTGGAGTCTGTTTCCAGCACTCACTACCTGGTCACTTTGCATGGGATCCTGGAGGGTGTTGGCTCTTCCTTCCTTACAGTTTCCTGTCTGAGTCCTGGTACCGGCTCCAGAGGGTGGGGAGTGTCAGGTGGGGCTGAGGGCTGGGTGAGTCTCCCCTTAAGGGTAGGATGTGCTCGGACTGCCCTGTGGAACCCAGCCTCTTGGTCTCAGGTGCTTCCCTCTGTCCTGTGCAGGTGTGTGGAACCCCTCCTTCCTTATCCCAAGGGCTGCTCATGCCCCCAGGATCAGCTGGGACACCTGCTGCTTGTCCAGTCAAACCCTGTGTGTCCTGGGCTGAGCACAGACCCTTAAGTAGTGGCTGCTGCTGGGGGGTGGGGGGGCCTGCTCTTGTCACTGTTCATTCTCTAGAGGTTGCAGGGGAGGGGCTTTAGGGGCAGGTCTGAGGAGCACCATTGTCGAAGTCCTGCGCCTGCTGCCGGACCCCGCAGGGCTCCCAAGGAGGTGGGCAGGCTCGAGTGCAGGCCAGGTAGTGATTCCTCTCCTCTGTTTGGCAGGAACTCAAAGTGAAAGGTCCCAAGGACTCCAAGGACAGCCACACGTCAGTCACTATGGAAGGTACGTTGTGGGGACAGGCTAGATAGCAGTCACCTTCCTTTGTCTGCCTTTGTGGACTACAGTGCCCTGCTTGTGTGAGCGTGTGCATGTGAGCGTGTGCGTGTGTGAGCGCATGCATGAGGAATCAGCCTCTGTCCCTAGGCAGCCAGCCAGCTACAAACGTGCTCCTCCTTAGGATGCTAGCAGGCAGCTAGCTCCCCTCCTCCTCCCTCCTCCCTCCTCCCGCTTCTCTCCATCCTGCCTCCCTCTCCTCCCTTCCCCTCCCCTCCCCTCCCTCCCCCCCCCCTTGCTAGAGGAGCACTCAAAAGCGGCTGCTTGATGCTGGAGGCTGTGCAGCAGCAGCAGCATGCAAGGTGGCTGAGTGGCTGGGCTGCTGATGGGAGCCAGGAAGCGATGGCCACATGCTGCTGCCGCGGGGACAGAGACTGCCATGGAAATTCTCCTCATCATTCGCTTCTGCTGTAACTGCACCTATGGTAACCCAGGCTCCCTCTCCCGGGAGGTGGTGTATCTTCCCGCCTCGGAGTGCTGGCTGGAGTGGGCTTAAATGTGGCTGCCAAGGTTTGGGGGGCAGCAGGGAAGGGAGGCACAAGTGGCTGGATCTGCATTTCCCCCACTCCGGCCAGCGTCCAGCATGAAATTGCAGTCTGGGGGTTACTCGGGGCAGGGATGGCTTAGAAAAGGAGGGACGAGGCTAGAAGGGTCCAGGTACCCCCCAGGATCTGTATGGAATTGGTGGCTTAGCTTGAGAGGCTGTGGGCGACTTCCTGGAGAGGCTGTTAAGGACAGAAAGTGACAAGACTACCTGCAGGCGTGGCAACCTGGGGCTGGAAGAGGGGTCAGCAGGGGCCAGTCGGAGAGTGACAGGTGGTCTGGACAGCAGTGTCCTGGACGGGGAGGGCGCCAGTTCCTGCTGGAGTGAGAAGTTGGGAGTTTCTTTGTTTCGGGGGAGAGGAGAGGAGGCTGAGCGGCCAGGGTATTGTGTGCTCAGAGCGCACATGCTGCCGGCAAGACATTCTCTGTGCTCCCCTCTCAGAACAGCAGCGGCTGGGGAGCCGGGAGGAGTGGGCTGCCTGAGGGTGTGTTTCCAGCCACCGGACACCCTGGAGCTGAGGTCTTGGCACTTGGTGCGGAGGGTGGGCAGGGAATGCTGGTGGGAGAGGGGGCGTGGCCGTGTGCCGAGTTGTGAAGGTCACACACCCACCATACAGGGGAAGGGATCGGAGCATCCTCTTTGTATTCCCTCAGCCAGGGGTCCTGGGACAGGCACATGCTGTCAGCCAGGCTCTCGTTCAAAGGAGGCTGGAGTAGGCCTAGGCAGGGAGGTGTCTGGAAGCTGGTGGGCCCTGCTCTCTGAGGCCAGAGTTGCCCTAGGCTGCCTTTGGCAGGGACATGAGGGGTCAAGTGTTACCTTTGGGCCCCTGTGTGTTCGAGTGGCAGGCGGCTGGCCCTGTCTCTCCCCTCCCACCAGGCGTTTTGTCTCTGCACCCTTCCCAGTCACTTTGCTTTCCCATCTCCGTGGTAACCTGGAGCTCCTTGTCAAAGCCTGAACCGAGGGGGGCAGTTGCTGGAGGAGAGATGATGGGGTTCCTCGGCTATTCCTCGGGGTTTCCGCCACTGTGCCAGAGGGCCTGCTGCCCCTCACCTCCGGCTGTCCTGTGTCAAAGACCGCTCATGATGGAGGTAACCCCTGAGGCAGGCCCTCTCCAGCTGCCCCAGCTGGACAGCTGTGGGGACTCAAGTCACTAGGCAGAAGCTGCCCTGCGCTCCTGCCCCTGAGCTCAGATTCTGACAGGCTGGGGTCAGGAGGAAAGCTGGACTTGAACTAGCCTGTTGGCAGATCAGAGGGAAAATGCTGTTTTGATCTGGCCTGGGAGTTGGACAGGTCTCAACTCTGTCTCCCTGAAAAGGAGGGTGTGAGCCCTTTGCTTCCTCTTCCCCGCCCAAAGGAAGCTTAGTCTTCGTGAAACAGGCCTGGGACATGTATTTTAGGGTTTCTTTGGTCCCTTCTGCTGTCTGTGTAGTCAGCTTCCAAGTGGGGAGTGAAGAGTGAATGAGCCCTGGCTGATCACACTGTTCAGAATCTTCTCAGTCCCTCGCAGGGGTGCTGGTTCTGAGGGCCCCCTCGAGGTTGTGCACCTTGGGGTTCGCTCTGGAGTTGTCTGCCTTCATGATGATTTTCTGAGCTCTGCAGGGCTCCATGCCCGGTGCTGTGGGGGGTGTGAAGGGAGGTCACGAGTGACCCAGGCACCTGAGGAGGGGACTCACCTTGGCAATAGGAGAGGTCGGCTCACCCAGTGCTTCCCAGCAAATCTTTCCAAGAGCAGGTTACATAACTCCGCTGTGCCTCAGGGAAGTTTCCTCACCTGTGAGATGGGGCCAGCAGTAATTACTTCCTTTTTCAATCAGAGGAAAGAATGCACTTAAGACAGTACCGTGGGCCCCAGCAAGTACCCAGCAAACCAGAGAGAGGCCAGCTTATTCATGTCAGGGGTCTGAATTTTAGGCACTGTGGGTATTGTTTGCAAAAGTCCTGGTCAGGGAAAGCTTCCTGGAGGAGGGGGAGAGACAGGTGTGGCAACTTGGTGAACACATGGTGAGGAGTAGGGAGAAGCAGGGACAGGCAGCAGTGGAACAGGTAAAGGGGGAACGGGGGCTCTTAGCCCTGCATTCCCAGGGGGAGCAGGCATGAGGAGCCACGGGCAGCACGAACATTAGGGTGCTCTTCCTCCCCTGGTTCCTTCCATATGTGACTGTCCCCAGGGCCCTCTCCCTTCACTTTCTCTCCCCTCACTTCCTCCCAGCAGCCCCCCCACCACCGGGGCTGAGGTGCAGGACTCCTTCCTCAGCCCCAGTCAGGTGGACTTTGGAGGTGACTGCAGGCATATTAATAACCCCTGTGAAACCCAACCCACCAGGTGTACAGACCTCAGAGCTTAGTCAGAAACCTCTGCCTCCTGGGCCGCAGAAGAGGGGCCGAGGGAGCTGACGCTGCAGGATCAGCTTTCCCGGAGCACACTGGGGGCCGCCTGAGCAGGTGTCCACTGAACTCGCTCTTCCTCGTAGATCTCTGGGGTTCTCAGGGTGTGACTTTTCCCCAAGATGAGCTAAGCCACAGGTGGATACCCTAAACAGCCTCAGAACTGGGTCACCTCTGGGCTGATAACTGGGCTCTCCCCTCACAGTCTCAGAATACCCTAAGTCTGGGCCTAGTCCATGGCGAGGGGCTCTAGAAAATGCCAATTAAGAAAGGGCTAGCTTGGCTGGTGTGGCTTAGTGGATTGAGCGTCCACCTGTGGACTCAGATCCCCGGTCAGGGCACATGCCTGGGTTGCGGGCTCGATCCCCAGTAGGGGGCATGCAGGAGGCGGCCAATCCATGTTTCTCTCTCACATCGATGTTTCTGTCTGTCTCTCTCTTAAAAAGTCAATAAAACATTTTTTTTAAAAGGGCTACAAATTAGTCATAGGAAGTATGTTTGCATAGCGGTTTTCGGTCATTCCTATATCAGAATCAGCAAAGGAGCTTTTTTAAAATGCTGAGCTCTGGCCAGTGTGGCTCAGTTGGTTGGAGCATCGTCTCGATTGGAGCAGGCTCGATTCCCAGTCAGGGCACATACCCAGGTTGTGGGTTTAATCCCCAGTCAGGATATCTCTCCCTCACATTGATGTTTCTCTCTCCCTCCCTCCCTCCCTCTCACCCTAAAATTAATAACAACGTATCCTCGGGTGAGGATTTAAAAAATGCTGATACCCAGGTTCCACCTGGCAGAGTTTGGGATTCCGTCTGTCTCGATGAGGAGAGGAGGGCCAGGCAGCTGTGTCTTGTACGAGCTCCCCAGTGATTCTAACGGACAGCCAAGCAAAGACTGCAGATAGTCATGGTGCACCGCTGGGACCGCGGCCTCCGCAGCCAGCAGGTTGTTCCCAGGATCTGCTGAGCAGTGCACAGGGTATTTCTTTCTAGGGCTTCGGGGCACTCTCGGGGTTTGGGGCATGACTAGGGCATGAGTGTCAGCTCTGATACCTGCCACAGCCTGGTCCTGTGGGACACCCAATCTAGGGTTCTCCCCAGGCCAACATCCTGCCTTGTTCCTCCTATGGCAGGAGGACAGAGGTCATGAGCCCATGACCAGAGGCGTCCAGGTGCAGGACTGAGGCGGAACCGCCCCTGCCGGAGAGGCAGGACACAGCCGCTTGCAGGCAGCTCTGTTTGGAAGTATTGGTCGGCCAGCTGCTGCTTCCACCTGTCTCTGCTGAATCCCAGCAATCTTCATTTGCTGTCCTGGTCACCAAGGGGTGTGGCGGACAGGCACCCCGCTGAGCTTGCATTTCCCCGCTCTTCAGGGCTCCCAGAGCCCCACTTGCATTCTTTCGGGAAATCTTTGCCCCTCAGCTGCCACTGGTTAGATGGCAGGGCCTTTCTGCGGAGAGCTGGCCTGCCTCCCTCAGCCTGCCCTGTTTTATCCGGGGGTTTGAGGGCGCGGAGAGGGGTCTCCTCACGGAGGGGAGGCTGACTGTGTGGGTCAGGAGGAAGCCTGCGAGCTCCAGCTGGCAGTGCCGGGCGCTGGGCCAGAGGAGGATGAGGGTGACCGGGCCTGGGGGAGCTGGAAAAACAGCGTGTCTCCTTCCCACACTCCGGGGTCCTAGGCGTGACCCTGAATGTGCTGGAGCTCTACAGGGTAAGGCTAGACACAGCTGTTCGATTCCGGGTGGAGGTACCGAGGAGCAGGGCAGGGCAGGGCTAGAGTCGGCCCTGGAAGAGGTCACATCTGGTGGGAGGGGGCCCGGGCTGCCCGGGCTGTGTGTCTGTCTGTTAGCGGTCTGGCCTGCCCTGGGGTGAGAATGGAGGTGCAGGTTGCTATGGAACCCGCCTGTGTGGGAGGGTGTCCTGCCGGTGGGTGTCTGAGCCAGGGAGTGAGGCAGGTCGAGGGACGAGGCTGGCTCCCTGAGGTCTGAAGCTGCTCCTGTATTTCATCTGTCCTGTCTCCTCCCTGCCTCCCCCAACAGCTCTGCTCTACAAGCCCATCGACCGAGTCACCAGGAGCACCCTGGTCCTGCACGTGAGTGTCAGCCCCTGCATGGCCGGGCCGGGGGTCCCATGGGAGACTGAGCCAGGGTGGGCAGGGGCTGGACCACCGAGAGCAGCCTATTTAGGAAACTGGGTGCAAGGTCCCCGGGCCCCCAGTGTGCCTGCCTGGCCTGTAATAACCATGCCAACGGGACCAGAGCCTAAATATAGCTGGGCTACTAAGCCGGACATTTGACCAAATGCTCCCTATCCCTTGCCTAATGGTTTCCATGGTCCTTGGAGCAGCTGTGGGGTGGGTAGATGGGTGCCCCTCCCAGCTGCTTGGTGAGATGAGACTCCACCTGGCTCCCCCACGCCCCAGGGCGGAGAGGACTGACTTCAGCAGAAGTAAAGGGGCAGCTCTGCCTTCCCCTTGCTGCCCTGAGGTCAGCCCGGATTGTGCAGGCATGACCAGGTTAGAGCGTGGATCCCTGCGTACCTCCCCTCAGTCTTTCAGTGAGAACTGAGTGCTCCCCACTGTCTTCTCATTAAGCCCCAGAGCTCCCCTCAACTCACCACCCCAACCCTCTCCAGGACCTGCTGAAGCACACACCCGTGGACCACCCAGACTACCCACTACTTCAGGATGCCCTCCGTATCTCCCAGAACTTCCTGTCCAGCATCAATGAGGACATCGACCCCCGCCGGACTGCCGTCACAACCCCCAAAGGGGAGGTGAGCTCAGGACCCGGCACCCCAGACCACCATCCCTGCTCTCCTACACGCCCAGGCAGGCTGCCCTGTGCCCCACTGTGCCCTGTCCCTCTCCAGCCCTGATCCCTCGTTCCCAGCCAAGGAGAGGCCTTCAGGCTCTGGGCTGACAGCTTGAAGTCCAGTGTCTCATTAATCTTCACAATCCTCCACTGCAGCAGAAGAGGAAACAGACCTGGGGAGTCTCTCCAGGTCTGGCACAAGAGCTCTTGGCCATGAGTGTCAGAACTGGATTCTTTAGCTGGGGCTCTGTCTGCAAGCCCCATGCACTGTCCCCCATACCAGGGACTTGGGGGGCTCTGGCTATTTCATTCTTAAATGCACCCCCCCACACACATAAGTAGTATGATGTCCTCAGGAACTCCTGGAAGGTAATGGCTCAGTCTGAGGGAGCTCAGGGAGTCGGAGGGAATGAGAGCTTGAGCTGCCTTTGATCAGCCTGCATGAGCAGGTGGGAGACGCTAGGAAGTGAGCCCATGACAGGAAAGGTGGGAGGGTAGCTGAGGCCGCAAGGTCACTGGACTGTCCCAGGTGGGCGCCTGGATGTGGCACAGCAGCTGCAGTTCCCTGGAGGCCCTTCTTGGTGAAAGGGTGGGGGTGCCCCAGTGAAGGCTAGTCATTTGCAGAACCAGAGAGACGGTTTATGGCACGGGTCAGCCGCCTGGCCCACATACAGGGCTTCCTGTGCAGGAGAGGTAATTAAGTGGTGTTTAGGAGTGCAGTCTGGCTGGGTTTATGCTCCTTTGTTACATTTATGAGTCCCCAGTGTCTCCTGGGGAGGGCAGTAATGAGGGACAGGATCTAGAGGGTGACTAATGGGCAGGGAGAGCTGTCCCTGCGTGCGGCTCCCAGCCCTGCTTCGCAAACCCTGTGTTTGACCGGGGGTAGCTGAACGCTCGCCAGAGGGCTCCCCGTGCTGTCGGTTTCAGGTCGTTTCAATGGTGCACTTTCAACATGCTCACCACACAGTGTAGCATATGTAGCTCACCTGGTGTGTAATGCAAGGAAGGCTGGGACAGATTGTGACAGCCCCGGGGTTCCGCTGCCCCTGAGGGCGGCAGGGAGGAAACCGGAAGTTCCGCGTGGAGCAGGGTTCTTGACCATCCGGCACCCAGGTTAGAGGTGGCTGCAGGTCCTGAGGGCACAGCTACAGCCCACAGAGGGTAACCTGGGGCCTCCCATCCATCTGGGGGTGGTTGACTCAGAGGTAGCATCAATGGGCCTGAGAAGGTCTGCAGGTGGGGTTGAACTGAAATTGGAAGAACTTCTTAGGTAAAGGGGTGAGGTGTTCATGCTCCAGGGTAGAGGAACCAAGTCATCCTGAGCTAGGGTCCCCCGGGTGGGAGCTGTTGAGAGCTGCGGGAAAGTGTAAAGCTACCCTGTGCTGACCACACAAGATGTGCCGGGCACTGGGCCTTCCGCACATACCATCTTGATGACTCCTTCCTTGTGGGCAGACATCGTTATCCTCAGTTTAACTGGGATTAAGAGAGGTCAGGGAACTTGCCCAAGATCACAGCTGGGAAGTGGCAGAGTCTAGATTCAAGCCGATGTCCCTGTGACCCCAAAGCCAGCAAGCACTCTTAACCACCAGGCGCTACGGCCCCTCCCTGCAGCCCACACCTCTCAACTGGATGGTGCCCCTAGCTCAGGCTGTGACCTGGGTTCGACTCCCCCTGAGCAGGCCGGGTGGGTGTGCCGTCTCCCTCAGACGCGGCAGCTGGTGAAGGACGGCTTCCTGGTGGAAGTGTCGGAGGGCTCCCGGAAGCTGCGGCACGTCTTCCTGTTTACAGATGTCCTACTGTGCGCCAAGCTCAAGAAGACATCTGCAGGGTGAGTCTGCGGGAGTCCAGGGTGCAGAGTTGGGGAGGAACTAGACCCTACCCCCTGTGGAACCCCTTAGCAGCCTGGGGCAATCTGCATATCTTTTTCCTTTTTAAAAACATATTAATTAATTGTCTTTTACTGCATAGCTTTTTTCCAAAAATAAATTACGTTTTTAATTATAGAGATAATATAACCAAATCACAGGCCCCGAAAACCATCACCCGTTCAGACATAAGCATCAGTCTCCTGCTGCGATATTTCCTTCCAGTTTTTTAATGCTCTTATGTTTTTCAGATCCTGGTAATCAGAGTGAATACCCAATTTGGGCTCTGCTTTTTCCATTCCACGTCATAAGCACTTTCCCTGTTGCTGCCTAATTTTCATAATCATCATTTTACTTTCCTGCGTGATGTTACAAGGGGATATGCCATAATTCACTTGAGCATTCTTCTTTTATTAGCCATCGCTACATTTTCGCTCACTACAAGTCAGTGAATATTCATTAAATCTGCTGCTGTCATTTATCGAGCGGCTCTGCCGTGCCAGGTGTCATGACAAATGCTTTGAATGGATGATTTCTAATCTTCCCAACAACTCTATAAAGTAGGGATTCTTATCCACATCTCACAGATGAAAGACTCGGGATGGTTAAATAAGATGCCAGGGTTGCTCAGCTGGAAGTGGAGGACGTGGGATTTGAACCTTAACCTGACCTGACGGCTGCTTTCCACTGCCATCTCTATACCATGATAGGGGTCCACTCTGCGCCTGAGCAGAAAAGGTTATTCAGTATTCATCCTGCTTCCTTTCACCTACTGTGCCAAGTACGCCAGCTGACAGTCCAGGGGAGACAAGCCGTAGGCTCACTGCAGTGCGAAGGGACCAGAATGAGAGGTGCAGACCTCAGTTCTGGGGGAATCAAGAGAAGGAGAGGTTGTTACGAGCTTCAATAAAGGGGATGGCTCCCTGGAACTAGATTTGAGATTATTCTAAAGCAGAGATGTAAGCACACGTATACCTGCCGTCCTTTGCCCATGGCAGACATTACTGATGACCCAAGGCACTACTGCACAGTGGCTTGAATGTGGCTTTATACTCCTCTGTCCAGTGCCTCATGTGACCTCTGTTGATCAGAGCTGGCATTCAGAACAACGTATTCCATCTGTAGCCTGAAGGATAAGGAGTAAGAGCTAAGTGTGGCTAGACTAGAAGGGAGGGGGGAGAGTCGGGTGAGAATAGGAAAGTGTGAGCCCACTCTTGCTCCTGCCGTCGCGGTTTAGGATGTTGAGAAACATCAGTCACACTGGACCAGAAGCCTGGCAAGGCCGAGGTCCAGAGTACTCACTGCTGCCCGACCCTAGAACCTGACTGTCATTACTCCACGTGTTTCCTGATTGGGCTACTCGAGGACAATGGATCATTTCTGGCTGTGACAAGTTCCCAGTACACCCTTTTCTGTGGTTTTTGGTTCCAGCAGTTCAGGCTCAAAGAGCCGAGTTCCTTCGGGCTCATGTCTGCCTCTGGCTTGTTTGCAGGAAGCACCAGCAATATGACTGTAAATGGTACATCCCTCTGGCTGACCTGGTGTTTCCGTCCCCTGAGGAGTCTGAGGCCAGCCCCCATGTGCACCCCTTCCCCGACCACGAGCTGGAGGACATGAAAATGAAAATCTCTGCCCTCAAGAGTGAAATCCAGAAGGAGGTGAGCAGAGCCCGGCATCTGAGCTGGGGCAGGGAAGTTGGCTGTTTTTATGGGGGCCCTTGAGACAGGAGAGGTGCGGGAAGGGGAAGTTGTAAGGAGGGAACATGATAGAATAGGAGGCCTCCGGCACACGCATGCTTAGGGAGACTGATCATGGCAGATGAGCACTGAGTGGACAGGGTGAGCCGAGGAGTCAGTACTCAGAATGTATGGTGTTAAGTATGGGAAATTTCCTGGAGAACAGTGTATATCAGTCACTGTAGAAAAGGGATGCAAGAGAAGAAGGCCTTATGGAAAAGCAGGACATGTTCAAGCGAAAGGACCTGGGAAGCCTCTGAGACATTGACAGATCAAGAAGGCAAAAACGAAGGAAAGAGGAGCCTTGAGGATCACAATGAAGGCACTTAATCTAAAAATTCACAAAAGGTTGTGCCCTGACAGAGCATTGAGATTCTTGTCAAACACATGTGAAACATTCACAGACATGTATTAGGCTGCAAAGGAGATCTCAGATTTTTTTTTAAAAAATTGATGGCATACCAGTCATGTTCACAGACCACAGTGCAGTAAATTAGAAACCAACAACTAAAAGAAAATATAAAGATAAGCATAGAAAGTGAAAACTTTCATGGTATAGAGAATCAAAATTGAAACTGCAAACTGTTCAGAACTGCGTGAAAATAAGAGCATGACATATCAGAACCCATGGGATGTAGCCAAAATGCTCTTTATAGGAAAATGCGTAGCCTTAAATTCATATATATGAAATCAGTGGCTAGACTCCAGAGGAAAGCACCCAGGAGGAGCCTTTTCCATAAGTGGCTGGCAGCATGGAGGGGCTTGTTTGGTTGGCCTGCTCTCTTCCTCGCCCATCTAGACTCTACTTGGGCCTCACTGCCTCTGGGGAGCCTTCCCTGATGTCTACCCACTACAGTTTGGGTTAGGTGCCCTGCTTCCTGGTTCCTGGTTCCTCTTTGCTTTGCTTTATGGGTAATGATTTATAATTGCATGGTCAGCTTTTTCCTTTACTTAGAATTATTTGAACTCGAGTAAGGAACTGTTTTATTCAATTATGTTCCTAGTACTTGGCACTTAATAAATAATGGCTTCATAAACGATTGTTGAGGAATGCAAGAGCAGATGGCCTCTAAGGATCCTTTCAATTCGGACATCTGTCCTTGATCAGAGAAGACCACAGTAATAACCCTGGGGTGTTTGGGACCGAGGGTCTGACTGGGAGTGCATCCGTCCAGAGGGAGCAGCCTGACCAGCACAGGTGTCCTCCTCCTGAGTGACAGGCCACCCCTGCCTTCGTGGAGCCTGTTCCCCATCTGGCACTGCCCGCCATCCCTACCCCAGGGCATCCTGCATGCCTGTTTCTCACCTGGTCCAGGAAACGGCGGGCTTTGTGCCTTCCCTCCCGCCCCAGGTGTGTAGGTAGACAAGGCCTTCCGCTCAGTCAGTCATGCTTGCTGAGCTCCACTGGCTGCAGGCCTGTGCCAGACGCCTCACAGAGTTCCTCATGGGGTGGAGAAGGCAGACTGCCCACTACTGACCACAGCGCATGACACACGTGACGAGAGTCCTGGAGACGCACAACAAAGTCGTTCTCTGAATCACAGAAGAAACAGTGATTTACTTTTTATTTTTAAATATTTTTCTATATTCATTTTAGAGAGAGAGAGAGAAAGGGAGAGGGAGAGAGAGAGAGAAACATCGATGAGAGAACATCAATTGGACACCTCCCGCATGCCCCGCACTGGGGATTGGCCCACAACCTGGGCATGTGCCCTGACCAGGAATCGAACCAGCAAACTCTAGGTGCATGGGTCGACGCTCAACCACTGAGCCACACCAGCCGGGCTGTGATTTGCTTTTTTTTAATCCTCACCTGAGGACATTTTTCCATTTTTTACTCAGATAGAGCAGGAAGGAGAGAGAGGAAGAGAGAGAAACATCGATGTGAAAGGGACACATCGAGTGGCCGCCACCCACACGACCCAACCAGGGCCAGAGACAAACTGCAGCCAAGGTACATGCCCTTAGCGGGAACCGAACCTGGGTCTCTGTGGACTGCAGGCTGACGCTCTAACCGTTGAGCCAAACCGGCCAGGGCGATTTGCTTTTTTAATAACCTTTTTTTTAAACTTCAGATTTTTTTCCTAATCACCTGTGCAACCCTGGCTAGTTATGAAGAAAGCTGACAATACCAAAGCATGTTGAGTAAAACTGATCGTCACCCACCCCCGTTGTTAACAGTGTGAGGTGTATTCTCACAGATGCTGTGCGCATGCTGGCAGGCGCACGCACGCCCGTGTGTAACTTAATGAGATTAGGCTCCAAGTGCTGTTCTGCAGTTTCAGCTTTTCACCTAACCGTGCTCCTTAGAGCTCTGGGGCCGTCAGGTTCTGCCACAGCTGCATCTTGTTCTGTTGCCTGACTGCACAACAATGTATCTGGGTATTTAGATGGTTTCTGGCTCTTTCCTCTGAACAGGCAAGTCTGCCAAACATCACTGCACTCATCTCTCTCCTCTGGTCGAGTCCCTCCGAGTGAGGTGTGTGGGGCAAAGGCTGTGTGTTTAGTTGCCAGGTTTACCTCCGAAATGATCGCATTCCATTGTGTCCCCCAACATAATGGAATGTGGGAGTCACTGATCCCCCACACTGCACAGCACTGGCTGGGAGCCATTCTTACAGATTTGCTAGTCTAGTGCGTGAAAAAAGTGCTGCAGAAATGAATTTCACCTGTGGAGTTTGAGGATGGCCTTGGAACCAAGACTTAAACATAATAGTGGTTAATAAAAGGGAAGGGTTCCGACTAGAGGGAATGGCTTGTCGGGGGACAGGGACTAGCACCCTGAGGCTGAGGGGGAGGGTGCAGGGCGGGGGGTGGTGAGGTATCAGGCAGGGCGTGGAGGCTGGGACCCTGGTACAGGCTCCTTGTACCAGGCCAGGAGTTGGGGCTTTGTGCTGAAAGGTGTCTGAGGCTGTAAGCAGAGTATCGTGATGGTACCGGGGTTAATTTATAGAGGTGAATGAAGAGGTGTATGCGCCTGAAAGAAGATTTTCGTTAACTCTAGCCTCCAAGAGAAGGGTGCATGCCACCCCATGCAGGGCCGCAGGGGGAGCGCCAGGTTTGGTCAGGAGGCAGGAGGGAAATGGGAGACCCAGAGCCTGTATTGTGCTTTCCCAGAGAAAGGAAGGCAGGGCAGGAACCGGTTGAGGACTGGATAATGTTGGAGGGCTCTGTGCTCTAGGGGGCTGTCCCTAGTTCCCTGGTACCTGGTCCTAGGTGCTTAGGGCAGGGGAATGGTGTGTGAGAGAGAAAGGAGGTGGTTGGGGATAGGCCTCAGGATTGGCTGGTTTGCATAGGAAAGGTATGCTCACGGAGGAGTCATTCACTGTGTTCGGAATGAGCATGCCCATTTTCCTCCCTGGCCAGGAAGTCTCCCAAGATGTCAAAGTAGCATAAAATACTGAAAAACAAAATAATAAGATGAACACACAGGGGAAAGTTGTGCTTAGAGCTGCTGAGGGAGAGGTGGAATGTGGGTGTGAGGGAAACCGTCTGTGCCTCCGTCCCCTACAGAAAGCCAACAAAGGACAGAGCCGGGCCATCGAGCGCCTGAAAAAGAAGATGTTTGAAAATGAGTTCTTGCTGCTGCTCAACTCCCCCTCAATCCCATTTCGGATCCACAATCGGAATGGAAAGGTCAGGAAGGGTGGGGATGGGACCAAGACAGCCCCCTTCCTCTGTCCAGGGCTGCCCACTCCTGGGCTCCTGGCCCTGACCCGTGGAAATCAGGGACTCAGGTCCCCAATTCTCAAGAAGGCTGCCATGGCTCCTGCCCTGGACTCCCTCTCCCCACTGGTGTGGAGCTAGTGCCCTCTGCTGGCCACCATTGGCACTGCCACTCCTGTCACTGGGCTTCCCAGGAAGGAGGCCCTCCTCCCAGCTGCCCCCTGAAAGCCTAGGGGTTACCTGGGTAAGAAGGAGCTTTCTTGGAGCTCCAGAACCCAGGAATGTGCTTGGTCTGACGATGGTCACCCCACTGAATGGTCATCTCCTCTCTTCAGAGCTACCTGTTCCTACTGTCCTCGGACTATGAGAGGTCAGAGTGGAGAGAAGCAATTCAGAAACTGCAGAAGAAAGGTGAAGTCCTGCCCCGCTCTCCTCCGCCCCGATGGGGTCCATACCAGCAGTGAGCCTGCTGTATTTCCAAGCACTTCATGTCCCTTATCTCCTCTTCAGCCCTCACAGTCACTCTATAAAGTGCCAAGGCAGGTGGCACTTCACTGATGTTCCTGAACAATTGAGGCCCAAAGAATTTAAATGATTTGCTTAAGGCATACAATGAATGAGCAATAGGACTGGACCCAGAGCCAAGGGTTGTGTCCATCTCTCTCTCCCTCTCTCTCTCTCCCTTCCTCCCTCTCTCCCTCCCTCCTTCACTCCCCCACCTTCACCCCCCCAAACACACATACATGAGTCTCTTTAGTTAGACTCTCTCATTACCCCTCTGACAGCACCAACAGCTATCCCCATGTGAGGCTTCACAAGTCTTTTCCTTTCTTTCAGTGATCAACTCTGCCCCTAGAACTAAGCTTTCTTTCCTGCAGTAGCCCCCAAAGAGAGCCACAGGTCCTAGTGGACCGATGCTGACTCTCCCCTCTCTCTTGACTCCCCCTGCAGATCTCCAGGCCTTTGTCCTGAGTTCAGTGGAGCTGCAGGTGCTCACGGGATCCTGTTTCAAACTTAGGACTGTACACAACATTCCTGTCACCAGCAATAAAGATGGTAAGATCTGGAACGCAAGGCTGTCCGCTCAGCAGGTCCAGTCTCCCAGGACATTGCTGGGCCGTCCACAAGGACCTCAGTAGACACTTGGCTACAAATGGCTGCTCTCTGCTCAGCTGGGCTGGGATGACTCAGTTGCCAGGTCCACAGGGAGCTTGAGCAGGGGTTGTCTATTCCCCAGATGGCCCCAACCCCTCCCTAGCCCCCTCTGGCTTGAGAGAAGAATCTGGCCCCTTGGTTCACGGGGATCGTGTTAATTGTTCATGAGGTTGTCAGATAATGGAAGCAAAAGACAAGCATGGGGTGGCGTGGGGTGGAGGAGGAAGGGGAGATGGGTTAGAATAGTGTATGAGAAATACGGCCAGAATTTTCTAGGGATTAGATCTTGAAAGGCCTTGAATGCCAAGCGAGAGAGTTTGTTGTTCAAGCTCAGGCTATGGGAGGGTTTGAACAGGGCGGAGCTGTGACCAGGGCTGGTAACTGGCCTGGAGAGGGTAGAATCTGGCTGCCCGTGGGTGCTGGAAGGGGCTATTGAAGGCAAGCTCTTCTCCGCCTATGAGGGTCATCAGCCCAGTGTCCCAAAGAGGAGGCAGAGATAGACCCTCTCTTCCATTGGCACAGTGACTTATATTGGTTATTTTTTACTTTGAAAGGCTAGACTGAGAAGGGCAGCCATGGGAAAACAGAGCTCAGAGGGCGAGGGAAGGTGCCCGTGGGAAATGGTACAAAGTCCTTGGTCCAGGAGGGAAGGTGTGGACTGGCCTCAAAGTCTGAGTAGAGGGAGAAGAGGCACCAGCTCATGGGCCTGGAAGTACTGGGCTCTGGAAACTACTTCACTCAGCCACCAGGTGGTGGTGTTGGACCTAGGCTCAGGCTGTGTCTCCCATCCTTTCTGCCTCCTGGCCCCTCTGGGGTAAGGAGGGGATGAAGCACAGGAGCCTCTCACCACCCCTCACCCTGGGGGCTTTTCTCTCTTTCAGATGACGAGTCTCCAGGGCTCTATGGCTTCCTTCATGTCATCGTCCACTCTGCCAAGGGGTTTAAGCAGTCAGCAAGTAAGTGTCCCTGACCACCAGCCCTAGGAAGAGGCTGGGTGGGCCCTTGTTCGTCCTGTCACAGAAAGTCCCCGTGGACTCATTGCATGGGGCTTCTCTCTGCCCACTTGCTCTGTTCTGGTCTGCCAGGCTGGGGCCCTGCCAGCTGCCTTAAGATGAGGGGTAGCCCTGGCCGATTTGGCTCAGTGGTTAGAGCGTCAGCCTGCGGTCCAAAGGACCCGGTTCGGTTCCCACTAAGGGCACGTACCTCGGTGGCAGTTTGTCCCTGGCCCTGGTTGGTCTTGTGGGTGGCAGCCACTCGATGTGTCCCTTTCACATTGATGTTTTTCTCTCTCTCTCTTCCTCTCTCTCCCTCCCACTCTGTCCGAACAGAAAATGGAAAGATGTCCTCGGGTGAGGATAAAAAGTGAAAAAGATGAGGGGTATGCCCCCAAAGGCCAAGAACAGCTCTTCTGGGCAAGGGCATTGTCCCAGCCCTTTGACCCCAAGTCTGTTCTTCCCCAGGCCCCTCCCCACCCCCAGGTATCTGATTTCCTGGACTCCAACCCCACATCTGCTGATTACAAGCTGTGTGACCCAGGGCAGGTCTCTCAGCCTCTCTGAACCTCGGCTTCTTTCTCCATAAAAGGCAATCACACTTGCTAGTACCGAGCGAAGAGCAGGCTCATGTGTGACCGCGTGTGTGCATGCCAGCTCTGCCACACGCACCCCTCTCCTCCTCCTCCATCACCTCCTAAATCTGCCGTTTGTAGTGTTTCACAAGATACCATCACACGTTTTCTCTAGTTTTTCTCAGGTAGGAATGTGTGAGTCAGACAGATAATAGTTCCTTCCCGTTTGCCAGATGAGAAAACGGAGACACAGAGAGATAAAAGGATTGAACTTCACTCAGGATCAGAAACCCAGAGCTCCTGACTCCTCTCCTCTCCGCCAGCCCCTTCCCACTCCCTTCTCTTCCTCGCTGGGGGGTGAGGTCTGCCCCTGGCCTCTCCCGTGCGCCGCGCAGAGGTTATGCCACCGGCTGACAGACAGACGTTCCATAAACATTTACTGTGAAGCCCGAGCTTCTGGGTCAATCGGCCTCCTCTCTCTGCGTTCCCATCACACCAGGGCAGATCAGAGTTACAGCACCTGTCATACTGTCTTGTCACTTAAAACTTGCCTCTCCCACCCTGGCCGGTTTGGCTCAGCGGTTAGAGTGTCAGCCCGCAGACCAGGGAGACCCGGGTTCAGTTCCCGCTAAGGGCATGTACCTTGGTTGTAGTTTGTCCCCAGCCCCGGTTGGAGTCGTGTGGGTGGCAGCCACTCGATGTTTCTCTCTCTCTCTCCCTCCCACTCTGTCTGAAGATGGATGCAAAAATGTCCTCGGGTGAGGATAAAAGACAAAAACAAAACTTGCCTCTCCCACTGTGAGTTCTCAGAGGGCAGGAACTGTGTAATCTTTATTGTGGGATGAATAGGAGCTCAGAAATGCTGACCTAAGTAGTTCATTTCCAGACACCTACTGTGTGCAGTGGGGTGGGGGGCAGATGCAGGTGTGGCCAGTGTGCGGACAAGGCCTTGGCAAGGTCAAAGCCTATTCGAGTGCATATCTGCTCTGTTCCTCCTGGCATCCCGCTGAGTTCACCAATATCATTCTCATTTCACCTGAAGAAGCTGAGGCCCCGGGGCTCACGGGATTTCCCGGGGTGGCACAGGCAGGTCACACGCGTCTCCACCACCAGAGCCCATGCTCTTGCCTTTAGCGCATCATTTCCCTCGGTGTGGCCAGGACCACCGCGCTCGTGCTGCGTGGACATGCAGCAGCTTCCTGGACGCCCCCCAAGCCCACGGAACCCCCTTCTGGGGGGCACACTGCCCAGGAGTATTCCTGGTTAATAAGCTCTGTGGGGATGTTATACCCACCCAAGTCTGCAGCCCACTGAGCTGGTCCAGGCACCCCCCCCCCCACGGTGCCCGGATGCCTCATCTCTCTCTGCTTCGTGTTGTCTGGGGTGGGCGTTAGTGGTTAGACCTGGGGTGAGCTGCTCTGAGATCTATCTCCTGACCGCCACATGTCTTCACCGCCTCCCTCCCGGCCCCTTGACCTGCTCAGATATTCCGACATGGGGGTTAGGACCTGTGAATCGTCACTGTGGCTGCTTGTCCTCGGGAACTCACTGCACTGCGGTCAGCCCAGGTGCGGGCCCCACGGCCACTCCTGTTTCGCAGGTGAAAGCGCCCAGGCGGAGAGGTGGTGATCGGGGCAGAGCTAGGGTTTGAACCCAGACAAGGTGACTCCCTCACTTTACCCCATGAACTAGCCCCTGGCGGGGACTCACACACACTAGATCCATACACGGTGACAGCCCTTCCTGCCCCTCCATCTTAGCCACCCAGACGGACAGTCTGACTAGCAGATGTCGAGGGCTTTGGTCCTCCGGCCTTGTTTACTGTTAATCTGCACCCATATCCCCGTGTGCTCCGATGCCCAGTTATAGCTCCTCTAAGTCGCACCCAGCTAGAGAAAACTTGGGGGGCAGCTTCACCTCCATTCTCACGGAAAACAGCCCAGCTGGGCAACCCCTGGGCCAGAGCTGACCGTCTGCCCTCTGCTCTGTGCCCTTTGCCCTGATTCATGCTGCAGAGGGTTGGCCGTACTACCCCAAAGCCCCGCCCCCCACCCCACCACCAACACACACATTACCCTGGAAAACAGCCTGGGCAGCTCCCATGGCAGGGAGAAGGGGGCTGCCAGGGTCCCGGGCCCAGAGGGAGAGTGGATTTGAAGAGTGCCTGGGGTGACCACCCAGGGCTGTGGCCTGGTCGCCTGAGTGTCCGGATAGAGCAGAGAAAGTTTTCAGCCTTCAAGGCCAAGATTCAAGATGGAAACACTAGGGAAAAGCTCCTCTCACCCACCCCACGCCTCCTCCACCTGGTTAACCGAAGCATCAGGGAGTGGAGAGAGCTCCATCCATTCATCCCACGTGGGGCTGGCGGAGAGGAGAGGAGTCGGGGGCCCTGGGCTTCTGGCCCCGTGTGATGCTGAGTCCTTTTTCTCTCTCTGACTCTGTTTTCTCATCTGGCAAACGGAACGGGGAGAAACTGTTCGCTGCCTAGTGGGGCTCGCCTGCTGCGTGCACGCCCAGTTCTTAGTGCGAAGGGCGCCCAGTGGCTGAGGAGACCAGGCGTCAGCCTGCGGTGCTGATGCAGCGAGGGGAGGGACGGGACACAAAGACAACTTCAGTCCGAGCTCGGTGCTGTGAAGGAGACAGCAGATGGAGCTTTTGGAATGTGGAGGCGTTTGGGTTGTCTCAGTGACGGGGTTACTCCAGCTTTCGGCCCCAGAGGCCAAATGCCTTCCAGACTGCCACCTCAAATGCTCTGGCACCCTGTTAGGGACCTGGGGTTGGTGGGGGTGTGGCTCCTTTAGTCAGTGTGGTCAGTGAAGGTGCTGCAGGAGGCTCAGTGGTGAGAAGGCAGAGATCGGGGTGAAGGGGCAGCAAGGGCCCCGAGCGAGGAGAGCTGGGCGCGGTTAGGGAGGAGACTAACGTGGTGAGGGGGGCACCATCTCAGAGGGGTGGGGAGAGGCCGACTCACAGGACTGTGGAGAGAACCCAAGGGCAGCCCTCTGGGGTGCTGTGAGGGACAAGTGTATTAAACCCCTTTTCCTCCTGAGTTCCGGGGCCTCACTCTGTCTCTGCCTGTCCCCCTGCAGACCTGTACTGTACCCTGGAGGTGGATTCCTTCGGCTATTTTGTCAGCAAAGCCAAAACCAGGGTATTCCGGGACACGACAGAGCCCAAGTGGGACGAGGTGAGTGGAAGGGGCTTGTGTCCCCATAGGGACCCCTGAGCTCGTTACTCCCTGTGCTCATGTCCTGTTGGCTGAGGGCGCTGGGGCCAGCGCTGCCCCGCTAACTCTGCTCATCCAGACACGGGGCTTCGGCTCAGAGCCCAGACCCCACTTCCCGCTGGGAGGCCTGTAGAGCTCCGGAAAGTGAGGGCGCTCCTCCCTGCCTCAAGATGTGGTCCGTATGGGCCCTCCTCACCCCCTTCTCAGCCTTGCAAAGCCAGGGCCCCCAACCTGCCCGGAAGCTGTGTCTCCCAGCTTCAGAAGTTCAAGCCCCTCGTCCCATCTCTCCTCAGGAGTTTGAGATCGAGCTGGAGGGCTCTCAGTCCCTGAGGATCCTGTGCTATGAGAAGTGCTACGACAAGACCAAGGTCAACAAGGACAACAACGAGATCGTGGACAAGATCATGGGCAAAGGGCAGATCCAGGTGAGGGGCCAGATGTGGCCAGGGCACCAGGGCAAGGCTCGGGGAGCAGCCAGGAGGCGGTGCCCGTTGGGAAGGCATCTTTCTCACTTGTCTTGATCCAGATGCTTGGCCTTTTGTGACTTGGGTTCAACGCTGGTTTGAGAAAAGTCTCCCAACGTGGTGGTTCTCCCCTGCTGGAGATGACATCTTACTCTAGCCCAGGTGCCCGTGTGTGCCTGGTCCCTCGGGCCTCCACACCTGGACGAGAGCTCCCTTGTTTTCACCTCCCAAATCTAGTCTGCTGGTGGCTTCTTCCAGGACACTGTTGAGAAGGATTCTGAGGCTGTATCCTCGAGTGCTGTGCATGATCAGCAATGTCTGTTGTCGGGGGTGTGAGGCCCCAGCATTTGGATGGGCTTAGGATCTGCTTGGCTGCTGAGGTCTTGTCTCTGACTTGTCACTGGGGTTGCTGGGCCTTACGCACCTGTCCTTAGAGTTCACTGGCTTAGGGTTGGTTTTGTGGGTGTCGGTAGGGGCAGGTCCTCAGGCAGTTTAAGAGTGTACACGCCTCGCCCTGGCCGGTTTGGCTCAGCAGTTAGAGCGTCGGCCTGCGGTCCAGAGAGGCCTGGGTTCGGTTCCTGCTAAGAGCATGTACCTTGGTTGCCGTTTGTCCCTGGCCCTGGTTGGGCCGTGCAGGTGGCAGCCACTCGATGTCTCTCGCTCTCTCGCTCTCTCTCCCTTCCTCCCTCTTACTCTGTCTGGACAAAAAATGGAAAAATGTCCTCGGGTGAGGATTTAAAAAAAAAAGTGTACACGCCTCAGCTGTGTTACTCGGTGCCCTGTTGGTGGATGTAGCTTTGAAAGTGGCTGCTGTTCACTTATCTGTGAGGAGAGTGCAGATATGGGCAGGCGCGAAGCCATCCACGCTGCACCTGGTACCTCCTGTGGCCCTCATGCTCAGGACACAAGTGGCCTGATTTAGGCGTAGATTCCGCGACCATGAAATCAAGGGAAACGAACTGGCACTGAGCCGTGGCATCAGGTGCCTTGGGCTCAGATGGGGTGTGGGTGCAGAGCGCCGAGGGATGTTCTCTTGCAGGAAGCATGTATTCTTTGATGCATCGTGGAGGCTTTAGAGTTTGGTAACTGGCTTTTGGCTGGGTGTTCTTGGTAACAGTGACCCTTGGAGGGGACCTGTGTGGGCCTCCTGTTCCCCACATCTGTCTCAGGCGCTAGTGTTTGAAAAGGGGGTGGCTCCATTTGGAGGAGTCCTGGCCATCTGCCTCATGTCGCCCCAAGTTCCTGAGCACATCTTTTCCTAATGCTGTGAGACCTGCGCCCCACTCTGCAGCCCTGTCTCCAGGGAGATGGTGTTGCCAGGCAACCACAAGTCAGTCCTTTATTATTTTATTCATTACTTAGGAAATGGGGGCTCTCTACATTCAGCCCTGGGAACCTACTTCCTGCAGGGGTAAGGAGTGGGGGTCTCATCCCCACCTTCCCGGGTTGGCAGGAGCGGCAGGCAGGGATGAGGTGCTGGGCTGGCCCGGCTGGCCCCCGGAGCTACCCAGCCAAGAAACATGGTCAGCCCCGGCATGGGATTGAAAAGTTCAGAAAAGTCCAGCGCAGCCAACTCAGCGAGTCCCATGGGCCCTGACCCCACAGAACCCAGACCCCAGGGCTCGAGGCAGTGCCCCCACCTGGACTTCCAGCCCATTGCTTCCTCCTCACTTCCATCAGCCGCACAGCCCCAGGGGAAACACGGCATAAATCATTACATCTTGGAGACAGGAGCAGATGGAGGAGGTGGGGGAAGGGGAGGAAGCCAGGTTATGTTTGGCAAAGCGGAAAGCACAGTCTGGTAAGGAAAATGTTTCTGTGTTTAAGCTTCGAGGAATGTTAAATGCCTGGGAGTGATATTAAAAGAAACACAAACCTTCCTGCTGCCAGCTGACCTGGGCCTGTGAGCGGCTAGTTCCGAGCCAGCGTCCTCTGAAGGGCTTTGAAGTCTCCCAGCCCTCAACTCCCCAAAGCGCAGCGTTGGTGCAGCCCTTGGCCCGCAGCCCTGGGGCCGTCTTACTGGCCTTCCTATGAATTGGGGAGTGGGCGGGGTAGCCTCGCCAGGGGTGTGCCATGCCTTATAAAGCCCCATCACCCTGTGACACCAAGGACGACCAGACTGGGGGGGGGGGCTGCACTAAGTCATTCCCACGTGGCCAGGCCCACAGAGCCCTGGGACAGTCTGTTCCCACAGCTCGCTGCACTTCCCTTCCTGCCACGTGGCTGAGGGAATCTGGCACCCGGTTCTGCTCCCCTTCAGCCGGCACCAGGGATGGAGCTAAAGGTGGCCGGCAGGAGGGCCGCGTCCTTGGGGTGTTCAGGTGGCCTGAAGAAAAGGCAGGGAGGGAAGGCTCACCCCTGTAGCCCCTCTCTCCCACTCTCAGAGCCCCCCTGGCTCTGCCCCTCTGGAGGACAGCGAGGGACCTCATTTCCTAAGCTGCAGGCATTTGTCCTATATGAGCCTCCGTCCTGGGTTGGCTTGATAGGGCAGTGGTGGCAGGGACTCTGGAGCAGCAGGCTGGCAGTGGGGGTGGAGGTCGGGCAGCATTTAGGGACAGACAGATGGCAATGCCGATTACCAACATGTGTGTCCAGCTCTTGTGCTCTCGGAGACCCGTTGCCAACATTAGCTCGTGACCCTTGCAACAGCTCTGCAAGGAGAATGACAATCCTATCCTCCCCATTTTACAGATGAGGACACTGAGGCCCAGGTGCCTCTGTGGACAGTGCACAGGGAAGGCCATGCTCTCTCCATTGTGCTGTGTCCTTGTGTCCCAGGTCCTCATCAGGGAATCTCCCAGCCTGGTGAAGGGCACTGGCATTGCTACTGGCCTGGAGGAGGAGTCGGGGTGGCAGTCCACTCTAGTGTCCTGCTTTATGGCATAGGGTGCACCTCCGCCTGTCTGGAGGCCTCTTGTCTCGGGGCAGGGGACGTGTCTGTCGGGTGCACCTGGAGGGAGTCATGCATGGCGAAGAGCCAGGGGATGGGACTTACCGTGCATCTGCAGTGTCCAGCTGCTCCGAGGGGGTAAGGGCCTGGCCTCAAGGAAGCTACTGCCAGATTGGAAGACAAGGACATCAATGTATTTCAAGCCACTAGAGAACAGGCAAGATGGCAGTAACGATGATTACGTCAGAGAGCTGACTGAGCCCAGCACTGGGCTGATGCAGCGTTATCTCAGGGGACTTTCATGGGATACCCTGTGGGGTAGGAAAGTCATCGCAGTTTTACAGATGAGAAAGCGGAGGCATAAAGGATTAAGTCACCTAGGATCAGGCAGCCCGTGGGCAGGGCAGCGGGCTGGAAGCAGGCTGGAGCCAGAGCCGTGCCTTGCCCTCTGCGGCTGCTCCCCGACTCCCCCCGTCCCGCGCACAGTAAGATGGAAACGTGTGCCACCCGAATTCAAGGAAGGAAAGAGCCTCACGGGCTGGAGCAGGGAGGCGTCCAGAGGAGGTGGAGCAAGAGGGAGTCGAGGGCACTGGGTTTTTTAAATTCCAAAGGCAATGTTTATGTTAGAGAGAAAATTGCCGCAATAGTAGTTTGACTTGAAACATAATCACCAGCCATCCCAACTCCTCCTCCTGCGAAACAGCCATTTTATGTTGTGCCTTTTTACCTTCCTTGAGTATACAAAATTTTATATAGTTTTTTGTTTTTGTTTTTTACTTTGTTTAAATTTATTTTTGGAGAGAGAGATAGACACATTGACGAGAGAGAACATCGACTGGCCGCCTCCTGCATGCCCCCCACTGGGGATTGGGCCCACTACCTGGGCATGTGCCCTGGCCAGGAATCGAACCAGCAACCTCTTGGTGCATAGGTTGAGGCTCAACCACTGAGCCACACTGGCCGGGCCAAAATATTATATTGTTTTAATCACAGTGCATGTTTTGTATTTTTTCTATTTTCATGTATTATCGTAAATCCTCTTTTGTCCAGGGCTGCACATCGTCTTTAGAATTACCTTTTTTGTTACATTAAAAGTATTCATCCACTTTGTAAAAGTCATTTTCTGTAGCGACCAGCACATGAATGGCTGTTTTGAGGCTCCTTGTTAGTGCAGCAAGGTGGCAGGCTCTGAATCAGCAGAAGGGAGTGGCTGGGCATTCCCGGGAAGGGAGGGCCGCCTGGCCGGGAGCAGGGAGGCAGGAGTGCACAGGGAGTGTCCCCGGAAATGAAGGAGCCCGCCTGCCCTGGGCAGGAGAGTGTGAGCAAGCAAGAAAGAGGGAGAGCGAAGGACTGAATAAAAGATTAGTTGGGCCCTGGCCGGTTTGGCTCAGCAGTTAGAGCATCGGCCCATGGACCAAGGAGTCCCAGGTTTGATTCCAGCCAAGGGCACGTACCTCGGTTACAGTTCGTCCCCGGCCCCAGTTGGGGTCCTGGGGGTGGCAACCAGTCGATGTGTCTCTCACATTGATGTCTCTCTGTCTCTCTCTCTCTCTCCCCCCCCCACCCCACTCTGTCTGAAGATAACATGTAAAAATATTTTCGGGTGAAGATTTAAAAAAAAAAAGATCAGTTGGGTTTTAGGCTGGAAGGAATCATGTAAAAATATTTTGGAGTAAGGATTAAAAAAAAAAAAAAATCAGTTGGGCTTTAGGCCAAAAGGAATCCTAGAAGCCACTTAATCCAACCTTGTTGCTTGGGGAGACCAAAACGGACCAGAAGCGGGCGGTGACGTGGCCGCAGTCACACAGCTCACTCGTGGTGGTGACGGGCTCCAAATTCAGGGACCCGATCCCAGCTTGGTCAGCTGCTGGGCATACGAGTGAGTGGAAATACTCACAGAGGGAACTGGGATGGGGGGCAGACTTGGGTGTCAGTCTGTGACCCTCGGGGGTTTGTCCTTTTGTCAGTGCAAATTTAGGGTTCGATCCTTCCAGCTTGGTGCACCAGGCTCAGGAGTCCTCCTTTTCTTCCCAGACCTCAGGGGCTGTACCTTGATTCTCTGTCTGGACCC